AAGACTACCCTAAAGGCACTTGGTGGAGGAACATTTAGAAACTGGGAAATTAACCTGGCAAAAGCAACCTGGATGGTCAACACCCGAGGGTCTGTCAATCGAGCTGGCCCTGCCCAGTCAGAACCCTTACACACAGTAGATGGAGATAAGGTCCCTGTAGTACATATGAAAGGTATTTTAAGGAAAACTTTGGATTAATCCCACCTCAGGCAAAGACCAACCCATTTGTGGGATTGTCTTTGCTCAAGGACCTGGTTACACTTGGTGGGTAATGCAGAAAGATAGGGAGACCCACTGTGTACCACAGGGAAACTTGGCCTTAAGTGAGAACTGGGTGTAAGATTTCATTGTGTGCAGATGGAAATAGAATAAATAGAATAGGGGGTAGATAATGTCCTGGTTTGTAAAATAAGCTTGTATTCTATTTGCCATCTGTTGGAGGTTGGGCAGATTTGTTATTTCTTCCAAGAACAATGGTTTGCTCCGAAGAGGTAATGGTTTGTTAATGGGCCATTGACTGACTCACTTGCAGGGCTGGTAAATGCAACATCATCCCATTGTGAGATGCTCCACCCAGAGGGGGAAGCCAAGCACTCTTTTATTGTATAAGGTGGTACTTTTTTGGAGACAGAGCAGCTCTCTCTCTCTTTACGGGATTCCCAGAGAAGCAGCTCTCTCTCTTTGCGGGATTTCCCAGAGAAGCAGCTCCTTCGGCGGGATTCCCAGAGAAGCGGCTGGAGCGCGGTGAGGCGGCGGCGGCGGAGCTCAGAGGCAGCCCCGGCGCAGAGGAAGACCGGCCCCACTGCCACCAGATCTTCAGAGAAAAGCTATACCCTTCTAAAGATCACCACTTCAGCTGCAATTCATCAGCTACTGCAAGAGGAGCAGCTATCATTTCAACCGGACTGCTACCAACACCCCGAATCCTCAGGTTGTGGACTTTATCACTAGTTTTGTTTGTACTGATTGCATTTGCCTTTTTAAATTGTTAACTAGTTTTCTCCTAGTAAAGAATTGTTACTCCCATTCCCATATCTTTGCCTGAGAGCCTTTTAATTTAAAAATCCTAGTAATTCGGAGGGAGGGGGTTTACCTTCTCCATTGCACAGGAGGCTTTTCGCCCTCCTTCACAGACTCCTGTCTTGTCAAACCAAGACACCATGCAACAGAATTATGAGTGCTCTCAATGACAAATTCAGCTTTTGTATCTTTACAAAAGGATGAGTTTTGGAAAGGAGTCCTTGAAAGGAGGTAGCCAAAACAGAGCTCTGAATACTACCTTCAAATGAGAAGGTCTTTTACTTATAAAAATTATCTGTAAGCATTTCTTAATGAGATACCTGTACTTCCACCTAGCAGAAAAGAATCAAGGCTGTCTGATTAAGCAATTCTCTCTTGCACCTGTTTTGGTCTGTGATGATTTCACAGGAGGGGAAAAAAAGAAACCATTACAAAAAAAATTAAACCATCTTTGTAACATTGTCTCTGACAATCTGCTACCCACAGAATGGACTAGAGTTCAACTTAAGCCAGTCAGTGCACAGAAAGACCAAGTAACACTGGGAGAAAAAGCACACAGTGAAAAGTCAGTTTAATAAAATCTTGTATGACAAATTACAGCAATTATCATAACTGGAATTCCTAAAACTAGAGAAGATTGTGGGAAACATGGTAAATTTTGAAATATATAACATGTGTCTAGAAAGTAAATAAACCATTTTCTACACTCACTGGGAGAGCAAGAGACCAGTTCAACTGCAGAATGGGATGTGTTGGGAGCAGTCATTTAATAGCAGTAATACCCAAGCAATGGCATCAATTGATTTTCAGAGAACAGAGAGAAGCCATTACAAAGCTGGACATTTTTTATTCCTACAGGCTTCTAACAATCTGGTCACCTCCCACCCTAGTTCTCATGCAGAATGGCTGAGGACTCATTTATTCATTAAATCATTTCCTGCCCTGTCTTCTCTAAAGCAATGCACTGGGAACTGGACTACAAAAAGATGTTGTAATGACAACATTCTCTTACCTTAATGTTTGTGTTTCGTGTGGGTGCCATTTTTTTTCATTTTATGGATACGAAACTTAGTTCTGGTTTCAGTGACATCACAATTCTAACAACATTTTCATGGAATCATAGAGCTTGATGAGTTGGAAGGGACCCAGCAGGATTATCAAATCCAGCTCCTGGCCCTGCACAGGGCACCCCACCCTATGACTGAGAGCACTGTCCAAATGCTTCTTGAATTCAGGTTTGGTGCTGTGACCACTGCCCTGAGGAGCCCATCTCAATTCTAAAATCACCCTCTGGGTGAAAATCTTCCTGATATCCAAGCTAAACCTCACCTGACGCAGCTCCGTGCTGTTTCCTCAAGCTCTCTCATTGATCATGAGAGTGTACAGACCTGCCCCTAACGTCCCATCATGAGGAGGCTGAAGACTGCACTGAGATCTCCCCTTAGTCTCCTCTTCTCCAGGCTGAACAAACCAAGTGCCCTCAGCAGCTCTTCATTCAACTTCCCCTCTAGACCCTTCCCCATCCTTGTGGCCTTTCTTTGGACACTCCTCTATTAGCTTAATTTCTTTTTTATACTGTGGTGCCCAAAACTGCCCCTAAAACTCAAGATGAAGCTGCCCCAGTGCAGAGCAGAGAGACACAATCCCCTCCCTCACCCAGTTGGCCTGATGCCCCCCATCAGGGGCACATGGCTGGCCCTTCTGGTTGCCAGAGTACACTGTTGAGTCATCAGCAAGTATGTTCAACTTTACTACACTCTTCAGTATTTTTTTTCCACTTGGAAACATGAAAGGCTGTGCCTGTATGAGTCAGCAGCCAACAGGATATACAGGAGTTGTCAACACCACACAAAAGTGAACAAGAGGCCTAAGGGAAAAGATGGAGCACAAGCATGATCAACAGGAAGACTGCTGTAAGGCAGCAGAGCTGGTCACCATTACCCTCTCCACGAACAGCCACTGCTCGGTACAGGAAACACAATGCAGGGCTCAAGGTGTTTTGTTTGCTTGCTTGCCGGCACAGGTTTTAATGTAATTCCCATGTACATTTTGATATGACAGTCTTACATATATCTTTCAAGACACATGGGCATTATCTGATTTTGCCTGTCACTAGCTTACTAAGGGTTAAGCAGAGAGCTAAGTCAGGGTTTTGCTTTGGCTAACTGTCTCTTGCTGGGCAGGGCCTGAACTCAACCCATTGCCAATTCTGTCAGGATGCACAGCAACATTTCTGCCCTCACTATAAACATTTATGCAAAGCTTCTAGCTAAAAATAAAATCCACATCAGTAAATAGTTGCCGATATTTTAGAAAGCTGTATGTTATTGTGTACCATCAAGCCCCAAAGCAAGCATGCTTACTCAATATTTCTGAATCTTCATGCACCATCAATTGCATTTTAGGTAAAACACTTCAAAGTGAGACTCAGCATGGGCACCATAGAGGCTGGTCCAGGAAATAATGCCTGTTTTCACAGAAGTAGACTGTGCGGGCTAAGACACCATATTAATTTTCCTTATGAACAAGCTGTTAACAAGAAACAGCTTTATGGAGCAAGAGTTTTTGAAAAGAGTAGTTTAAATCTGAGTATCTCAACAATGTAAAAGATCCCAGATCCAAAATGCAGATCACTTACTTGAAAGTCCCCAGACCTTGTGATGCAGAAACAATTGTGTGGTGGATACTAAGGAATCTGCCATGTTCCTGTTGAAGCATGGCAAGAGTAGGGGGTGCAGCAACAGGTCTGTTCATTGGTAAGAACCGCCATAACCCTAAGGAGGAAAAAAGAAAACCAAAATGCAAGAAGGCATGAGCAGACAATCCAGAGAGATCAAGATGCAGTGGCACAGCTTATCATTAGCCCTTTTCAATTGCCAGAAAAGTAATCACAGATGTTCCTTCAACTGGCTATCAGGAAAAGGGAAAGCACCCTCTGCCACAAGAGCATCAGTCTTCAGTGATGATTAACAACAGAAAACGGGGGAAGACTTGTTCTTGACTGCCAGTGAAAAGTGTGTTCCATTAAAATAAGAGGCAGTATGGACTGTTTTGCTATTTGAATACCAAATTTCAAAGTTGACTTTGTGTTATAACCTGGGTTTCCGTTTTCAATTCATCCTACATCAAATGCTTCTTTCCCTTTCATTTTCTTTTAGGTGATGCATTTTAGATCCTTAACCTACAAAAGAGCAAGCATGCAAGTAAGAAATCATCTATCAGCAAACTATAAAGGAAATAGAAGAATTTGGGGAATTAAAGTGAAAGTGACCTGGTGACTACCAAATTCCAAACTTGCTGGACAAGAACATACTATATGTTCCAGTAAGAAAATAAAACTCAACTTTCACACAAAAGGCTCAAATGATTAAAAAATATCCAAAGGGAAAAAAAAAAAAAAGAAAAAAAAATTATGGTTACAGTAGGAGTACTTCAGAATTACACACAAAAAACCACATTTTTGCTTTTATTTGTGGTGGAACAGAATACAATAACCTTCAGCCCAAACTACTCAAGGCTGGCAGTATTACCTTTTTCTTCATGCTGCAAGACTTCAGAAAATGGAACAAGGAGAGGAAGGGTTTAGAAGTTAAATTTTCTATTTAAGGCCATTAATTCAACAAGATTTAAAAAAAATGTCCTCAAGTTTAAGCATGAAGAGTTGCATTGACTTCAGTAAGATTATTCACATACAGTTAAGTCACGCAAGTGCTTAAATGGCTTGTTGAATCAAGCCATTAAATGAGAGCTGCTTTATTATATAGATTTATTTTAATGGGTGGCAGCGCTCATTACATGAGCCTATTATTCTTCCAAGGGCTAACAGCTGTTTTGTCATTAACTTTTCTGAAGGTCTAACCTGTATGCCTCCTGCACTTTACTGTAGCCACAGAAACAAAATTTTCTAAGAAAAAATGTATGCAACATCTATTATATATAGTGGCTTAGCTCTCCCTTAAATAGTAACAGAACAGTACAAAACAATAGTTTCACTTTTTCAACACACGAGAGCATCTTATTGAAAAACTAAAATAAAAAAGTCTCACCACAATATAAATCCCCAAAAGATAATAATGAAGTGGAAAGAAAAACGGAGTTAGCAAAACGTCCTGCAGACTTTAAAGTCTCTTATCGCATTAAAAAAGCTTTTCTGGTGAACCACAATGTTTTGTTGCTTTCTGTTTACAAATCCACTAGACAGCAAACAATGGTGTCCACATCCACAACCCATGTTGGGATTAAAAGGTAAAAACATAACCTGCCCCATCTACAATCCAAAAAAAATAAAGGAACCCAAAAGGGCAGCCAGTGAGCATAGGAGCTGGTGAGGACTGAGTTTCCCTGCGTAAAGGGGAGTAGGGGTTATAAAAGCAGAATTCAATTTGGAACCACATTGAAAAGTTCTATCTTGGAGACCTGCAAGACATGAACTACTGAAGAAACAGACAAAAGGTCCCAATGAAAAGCTGTAACAAGCTGTAATGTGCCATTTTAATTACAAGGAAGAGGGGAAATGGTTGAGGGTGGTTGCATTTTGTGTTTTTGTTGTTTTGGGGTTGGATTTTTTTTTGTTGTTGTTGTTTTTGCTCATCAATATGATGAGCTTTCAACGTCCCAAACCACATTCAGGTAGTTTCCAAGTCTGCTATTTTTTGTGTGGAATCTACTGATCCAGACCAAAAACCCAAATGAATAGAACAGAGATGCACAGTTCTTAGGTCCTGGAGCTTTCAAAACTGCCTGAAATAATCGCTGGCCTGGGGTATCCAGAGATGCCTGCAAGATGGTGTTTATAGCAGCCTTGCAAGCAGATCAGCTCACATCTGCTATGTGCTGCCAATGTTCTGCCCATCACCTTCATCATTAGGACCTGAAACAATAAAAGTAGTTCTTGGTCATAAGAAATATCTTTTCTTTCTTGCCTTGCAGTAAGAGACTCATCTCAAATAACCTACATAAGTCTCAGATTCAGGTGTTCAATGAGAGAATTCATAGAATTCTTCCTCCCCCACACTGCATATGGCCTTCTCCAGACTAATATTTGTCTACTGTACAATTTTATGTTCTTGACTAATCTAGTTCAGGAATCCCAGCAGCATCCCAAAACCTAAAAGCTCAATTTCAAAGCACTTTAATCTTCCCACTGCTTTTGTTCATATTCATTCCTTTTGTTTTCCCCTTCTGTGAATCAAGATGGAGGACTACCATAGGCTGGATGTTCCCAGCCACAAGAAAGCAAAGCACAGAAGACATCCAAGTTCAGAGTACAAAAGGAAGCCTTCTTCAAACTGAAGACTAGTATTTTTCTTAAATTATGGTCTCCTCATGCACAATAAAAAACATTACACTCTGCCCCTTTGTAAGCCTTCTGCTTTCCAAACAGCTCTCTACTGTAAAGGTCAGTCTGGATGCTGTCTACTGATCCTGAGTCATCTCAGGTTTTATGTGCAACTCCTGGCCATGATGAAGGCCAAAATGAAACTCAGAACCACCCTTAGAAATCCTGTAAGTGATAAAAAGCACAGAAAACCTCTGCTAAATCTGGCATCTCAGAGGCAGCACAGGGGCCTTTTACCAGTTTGGAGAAGCAAGGAGTAGTTGCATTCAAAAAGGAAAGCCATGCAATAGTCCTACTCCATAGACATACACAATGAGCACAGACTTGCTTTAAGAAATGACACAGAAAAAAATGCATGGAAAACAGGAAATACCATTGTCCTTCTTACCACTTCCAACTGATCCTGAAGGTGCAATGACATCATCATCATCACTGTCTTCCTCATTTGACTGTGTTACCTCTGGCTCAGGTGCTACATTCTTGACTTCTTGCTCTTGTTCCACTCTACTGCGCAAGGCCAAGATCCGATGGTGCAATGCAGCATACAATTGCCCTGTATCTTTAGAGCTTGCCTGCATTTTTTAATATTCAGAAATAAGAAAAAGATGCATGGAATTATAATGCAATTAAAACACAGATGACATAATACACACCAGTCATGCCAAATTTCACAATATACTTTTTAGTTTTCTCATAAAGTATTTCTCAAACTGGTCAGATTGGGCTGTGGTACACAGCAGGACATTAGATATAGAGAATTCTGGTGGTAAGAGTATATTCATCTGCTTAGTTCCAACTTTCTCTGGCTAACATACCCAGTATTTGCTGATCTCATATAGCCTTCTTCACATATAAATCACATAGATTTCCTGACACCTCCCAAAAGATTATATTAAAAAGACCTTCAATTAAAATCTTGCAGATTTTTGCTGCCCCGTCAATAATTCAACATCATACATTAGTTAATCATAATCAATCCAACTGTTTCATTAGGCACTGGCATAAAATTTCAGTATGAGATATAATGAGAAAACTCAATGAACAAACAGGCAATTATTCAAAGTTTTTTTTTGAACAGTCTCTGTTTCATAGGGAAGCATTTTTGAAAACCTGTCAAATTCTTTCATAAAAAATAGTTTACATCCACCCCATCTGACACTTCAATCTGTCAACTGTATATCAGCAAAATTCTCCTTAAATAAGCTGAAATGAAAAAGTAATTCCAAATAAGATACCTTTTATCAATACTAAAATCAAGAGCTAATAACCTTATGACAGATTAACTCAAAACTTTCAAAACTAGAAAAATATGGAGAAAAATTTATCCAATAATTTTACTTTTTTTCTTTTTCAATGCATATTTGGTATCATTAAGTTCAATTCTGAGACTCCAGATCCCAGCCCTACAAACCTAATGTCACAGGGAAAGCTGGCCATTTGCTGATGCTCTAGATTTCTGATCCCTAGGAACACTAATTCTTTTGCCACATCTTGTGTAAAATCAGTGCAAATCAAAAGAATCTTCTCAGACCTCTCCAATTCTTTTAGTGCTTTAGCAGGCATTAGAGAATGACCTTTCTCCCTTACTGACTGTATGATCAGATCAGTGTTTTAGTAATTCTGATTGCAATTGCCGTTCCCCATTTAGTAAGCACAGAAATCACTTTCACTATCCTGTTTCTGCTTTAATACTCTGTATCAAAGGAAAATCAAAGTTAAAATACGTAAACCTTAAGTACTAATATGATGTTATTGACAGTTTTAGTGTTTCCTTTTCAGTGGGCACCTATTCATCCTCCTGCACTGCAGACAATGATGGTTTTCCTGTGCTGAAACTTCCACTAGATCAAATTTTGGTTAAACTACTGCATAAAATCTATTAAATTATGCCATTTTTTTTAAATCAGAAAAGAATTGGCATGAAACACTATAGTTAGAGTCTCAGTATGTGTGGAACAGATCCCATGACTCTATGGGCAATGCTTTGAGCAACACAGCTTCATAGGGTAGCCTTTGATGTGGCCTTTTGTTCACAACTAGCAAGACTTTTTAGACCAGGAAATCTGCCAAGTGCCTTGTCTTTGGGGCAGGGGTGATTTTAAGACAGTGTAGGGTGCAAAGAAAAATGGAATGCTACCTCAGCTACAGTTTAAGTAAGCACCAACTTGAGTAGGATGGTCAAGACATAAATAGTACTCACTGATATAAGAAAAACTTTAACTCCTTGGTCCTCTGTATCCATGGCGGTGATACGGATACTCTTCTCACTGGCTTTATCGATCTGCATCTGAGCCCAGAGCTTCGTATTTAAGATTAACCTGAGACTCCCCTGAGTCCTCATCACTAAAGCCAAGTTACAAGATCAGTTAGGTGGAAAAAGACACAACAGGAAGCTCAAAACAGTCAATACACTTTTTATTGTACAAAGGTTTCAGTCTTTTTACAAATAAGCCCTCTTAGGCTTTTGTCACAACTGTAAATAAGAAGAATGTAGACTTGTGCTGGTTTTGGCTGAGGTAGAGTTAACTTTCTTTCCAGTCAATGCTATGGAGCTGTATTTTGGGTTTCTGCTGAACGGACAGTTGATAATATAGAGATGTTTTTGTTATTGTTGAGCAGTGCTTGCACAGAGCCAAGGTATTTTCTGCTTTTCATACTACATACACTGATGAGGACAATGGGAGTATGTAATACGTTATGGTCATAGGTTGGAGACAGGTACAACAGAAATTACTGATGATCATGTGACAAATAGCTCGGTTTATTGTTTGGCGTGCCCTTTTATAGGGGGTTCCTGTGCTTGGACAACTGATTGATCAGGGTCTCTGCACTACCTAGCTCCTTGACCAGTGATATGTTTGCATTCAGGATTGAATGGAATTGGCTGGGGTTCTTTGAGTTCAAATTTATCCTATCATTGCTCACCTAGGGACTTTACTTATTTTCTCCAATGAACTAGGCAAGCCGAATTGGATCTCTGTTTATGGCCATATTAATCTGTCCAGCTACATACCAGCTGTGCTGTGACAACTATGTGGGAGGTTAGGGGCAGACACAGCTGGGACAGGTGACCCAAACTGACTAAAGGGATATTCCAGAACAGAAAACACCATGCTCAGGATATAAAGCAGGGGGAAGAGGAGGAAGGGAGGATATTTGGAGTGATGGCGTTTGTCCTCCCAAGTCACCATTACACATGATGGGATCCTGCTGTCCTGGAGATGGATGAACACCTGCTTGCCCACAGTAAGCACTGAATTAATTTGTTTTGCTTTGTTTGCAATTTGAATGCACCGCTTTTGCTTTCTTTATTGAACTGCCTTTATCTCAACCCAGGAGTTTTCTAACTTTTATATACTTCTAATTCTCTCCCTGATCCTGCTGGAGAGAGAGTGAGCAAGCAGCTGCAAGGGGCTTGGCTGTTGGCTGGGCTTAAACTGCAACAAGGTTATTAAAAATTATGAGTCATATCTAAAGCTATTTAGTCTGAAGTCTTATATGTTAATACATTAAAGTTCAGCAGTGGTATCTGAGCAGATAATCTCAGGCTAATGCACATTCCTGCCAGCCTGAACAATCGTACACTATTCAGACTTCCCTCATCACAAGCAACCCATCCAAAGCAGCCAGATCTGAATGATGTTACAATCAATTTCTAGGCAAATATTCTAGTTACTAAACATGGCTTGCTTTTATTGGGGGAAAAAGTAACTGGAACATCTGCCACAATAGAAGGGTATGAAGATACCCTCTTTGGAGGCAGTATTCACTAACTGAAGCAAAAGAAAAGGTCCAAACTGCTACTGAATTGCTGGAGCTAATACAAACTGAAGTGAATGTTGCTGTGTGTCAAGGAAGAACCTTATGAAAATAGCATGGCTGTCATCCAGTATCTCATTTCCCCTGGTTCCTCTTACCCAGTCGAGACTGTAATGTTCCATCATCTGTTGAAGCCATATCATTGAGTCTCAGGAGTCCTCGACCTCTTTCCACCCAAGACTGAGAGCTTTTATCAAATACAAACAGCTTGCACTGAATCTGTAACAGAAAATATCTCTATGGCATAGTGGTTGATTGAAGTAATCATATATTTCTTAGTCACCTACAGTTGATTAAAAAAAATATTCAGATTTCATACTGGAATTTTTAATTGTTCATAGCTGTGGAAACCAAAACAATCATCCTCTCTTTTGCAATAAATTTCTCAAAATATGCTGTCTGCATTCCTCAAGTTTTATTAAAAGAAGCTACATATTCTTGAAGAATAAGAGGGTTCAAGATCAAAACAAGAAGTAATTTTCAGGTAAGATATAAATTTTCACAGAGGAAACTTAATGTCATTCTTTAAAAAGCCTTAGGTACACATTGCAACCCAGCAAATATAATGAAAGCAAAGCAAAATTCTTCCTGTAAGGAAGTAAAGGATGAACAAACATGCCAGCTCATTATCAATTCATTATCAAAGCCTGAACCATACAAAGTCATTAATAACTTAGGGTTCAGAGGTTACAAAATTCAAATATGTGCATTTATTTTTTCCAACAGTAGGAATACTGAAGGATCTTGACCTACAAGCTCCCTTTTTCTTCCATGCCAAACATCTCTACTCTGTATTGCCCTCTCTAATCCAACTTCACTGTTACTGCTGAGGCTTTATACCTCAAACCATCACCCCTCAAGTTCCCCACAGATAAGCATGCACTAAATGCAAAAGATACTTCCATTTTCATTCCCTCAACTTCTTATCTTCTTCACACCAGAACATCTAGCTCTGTATGTTTCTGCAACATTAACATAGTTCTGTCTGTACAAGTCCCACTTGGAATTTTAATGCATTAGATTTCACAAGAAAAAAAAATAATTAAAGTTAGGCAAGATGTCTGTTAAATCACAACATATTTATGCAAGTCAGTCCTCTGTGAAGTATACAACTTTATTAAGTTGTATACTTCATAGAGGACTGACTTGCATGAGTATGTTGTAATTTAAAAACACAACCACCAAAAGTTGTGGTTTTCCTAAGTGAAACAGGATTCTTATCTCTTCCGTTTCTTGTTCAATTATCTGAAGATCCAGACATTTCTGAATTACATAGAAACAGAGATGTACATAGAAACAGAAGAACCACTTAAAGACCATTTATGTGTGGTAAAAAGAAGTCCAAGAAGACCAACATTACAGAGTATAATTTTGTAAGGTAACGCAGGTGTAACTGATGGGCATTAGATACTGATAGTGCAACTGTTTGGTGTCAGAAGAATAGAGCATCATGTCTGTAAGAATAAAAAAGTTATCCTTGAAAATAACACAGTTCAAATGCTGAGAAACAAAATATCTCACGGAAAAAATCAAACTATAATTAGAGGATAAAGAGAGATGGGAAAAAATACATATACCACTTCATTTTATATGAAAACCCTGAAAGTTTTTCTTAAGGATATACTGGAGTTAGAAAGTATATTTAAGTTAATGAATAACTACAATGTTAAATATATCATTATTAAAATCAGCAGTCCAAGTCATGACCAAATATCCTTCTACAACATCACTAATTCAATTAAGTATCTCAAACCAAATTCCTGAGTGTTTGTGATATAGTTTCTGTTTTGCAAGAAACGAGACTACTGGCATAAATAGTTCATTCCAAGTTTTAAAAAAATCTTCTGTAGTACAACAATTGAAGAACTTAAAAATATTTAATTAATTTAATTTTTTTCCAAATAATTGTCTCACAGAAAATAGAAGCTTCTATGTGACAGATTCAGGAAAGTATGCTTAAGATACGCCTGGATGGCTTATATACTAAAATTTATTCAGAAAGAGGAAATTAAAAAACAATGTATAACAAGTTAATAAATAAGGATCTGATATAAATATCTAGAGTTTGCATTTTAACACAAGAAAATACATTAGAGATATAGAGGAAGGCTGAATTGTAGGGAATCAGATGGTATGCATTCACTGGAGATCTGTTACATGGGGCCGTTGGTCAGAGACAGGGACAACACAAAACTCTCAGAGATCCAGGCAACAACAGCAACAGTTTATTATGGAGGCCTGATTATATAGGGGGTTTGAAACTTCCTGGTTTAAACAGCTGATTGGTTGGGATCTCTCTCTGCCCAGATCTCTGGCCAGTGGTGTGCTTGCATCTAAGCTTTAATAGATTTGGCTGAGGGTCCCCTGTATAGATTTAAATCCAGCTTATCTATGGACTTGTTACTGTGACAGACATCCATATGAATCCCCATAAACTCAAAGCTCCTCTATCCATTTCTTACCTGTAACACGTTACTTTCAGCTTCCTCCCCAGTAATCACTTCTACCTTCGCTAATAAACACTTCCTTGCTGTTGCTTTAGTATAGGCTGCTGCAGACTCTGCCAGTGATTCTGAAATATTATTAGCTGAACAACATTTTGAGAGTCTGAGAATTATTAGCATAAAATTTTGTAAGATATACAAAAGTCTAATAGAATTTTGAGACCTTTTGAAATGTATAGAAAACAGCTTAAATAGAACATGTAAAAAAGGACTGATATTTAAAGCAGAAGTTAAAGATTGTCTTTTAATACTTGTTTTACAAGCATAAGGAACAAAATAGATAAATTCTCAAGAAGTTTTGTCCCTACATACAATAGTTCAAAACCTTTGCATGGACACCTGCTTATCTGTAGATGCTCCAGCAATACTGATACTCTTGCCAGCCATACAACTGTGCCTACACATGGACAGTGCATTTAATTTTCCACTTCCATTTGGGCTTGCAGGCAGTTTATTGAAGAAAACCCAGAATTTCCATAATATCTTGACAATCTGAAGTCATAGAATCCAGCAAACAGTTCTGAGTTCAAGCAACATGTGGGGCACCCACTCAATGCAATAATACACATTTGACCCAGAAATTCAGTCACTTGAAATAAAATAGAATTATTTTTAAAAAAAGTTTGCCACATTTCTCCTATGTTTTTTTACCAAGTCCTATTACCAATTCTGTTAATTCCCTCTAATTTTATTCCATTGAAGATACTCTCACAACCACAGACTGTCAATGAAAAAGAAAGGGCAGCCTGCACATGTTTATATCCAGCAACTTCCACACTCAGCCCGTATCTTTGGTTACAGGAGACAATAAAGGCAACATAAAAATCTTATGTTTTTGAAAAGTAACAGGCTATTGAAAAATACAGTAATTTTAAAAGGGATTAACTACCATTATATATAATATTTTTATTTTGTTTTTCACCTTTTTCTGGTGTGGCCTCCTGAGAAGACGATTCAGACCCAGACTCTGTAGCAGCATTCTCCTTATTACCCTCTGTACTACCTTCATTTGATTTTGGTGGACTCTATCACAGAAATAAGATGAGGTAAACAGAAGAGAGAAAGCATACACTAATTCTGCTAAACAAGACTAGTGACCAAGTACTGAGGGCAGCTTCAGTATTTATAAACCATATGACAAAAAAAGAATCTCAAACAACATGCTTTCACAGTTAAAACTATCCTACAGTCAGCCAAGGAACTGAATGGAGCGTGACCTAAAAAACAGTTCAAATTATTTTCCCTTGAACTGATACCAAATTTCAATCCTTATTTTGAAGCTTTTTGACTTGCTTTGTTCAATACAGCAAGTCAATTTCAGCTTCAGCTACTCATGGCATAACTGACTGAACTCCTGCTTGGTAGTTAGACATGTCTGAACACTCAGCATTAAACATTTCCATTTTGTTCCAGCACAGGAATAAAAACAACAGCAGGAAACAGTGAGGTACTAGAAGTTATTCCTTAGGTTGGTACATCATAAACAGCATTTCCAGAATCATACCTCAGTCCTGAGGCAGCTGCTTTACTGCTGGGCTTGAAATCCCATCCTGGGGGGAGTCACATTACTGAACTGCTCTCAATTTTGAGGACAAACATAAAATACTGTTTAATACTTATACTCCAATAGCCATTTAAAGCAACAAGCTGTGCCATAAAATGCTTGGGTACAAGAACCACATGCACTACAGAGAGAGCACTGAATCTCCTTAACACTGAGAGCTTGAAAGGGAAATCCTGGAAAGTATTGCTGGGCAGACAATAGCTCATAATGAACTTCCTGTGCTGCACTCAAAGTAAGTTATCTTCAAGGGAAGCCACTCAAAAAACCCCATACTCAAGTGAGAAGTATAATTAAAGGCTCTCAAAATTCCTGAGTGAGAATCTGTAACAAACTGCTGGCAAAATTACAACATATACATAGTGGATACTCACTAGGACTCGCTCACTCATGTTCTGTCCAAAAACAAACTTGTTGCTAGACGCATCTGCACTGTTTGTAGAGTTCTCTACACTGAAAAAAACCCAATAAATAAGCCAGGTTTTACAAGGCAGAAAATAATACCTCTTTTATTTTCTACTAATAAAATTTCTCAGAAAGTGAGTGATTGTCACTGGCTTCAATAAAGTAAGCACTGGTTGACACAAACCTAAGTAAAAATTAATCCAACTTAACACAAAAGCACATCCTAGTTTTACAGAACAAGAATTCTCTCAGAATGACAACAAATGATTTTGTCTCTGTAAAAATCTTCCTCTTCAGATAGCTATTAATATACAAAACTATGCTGAATGCTAAGTGAGGGCTTATTGTCTAATCATATAACATACATCTTTTAAAACAGTAGTCTGCATGCACAGACTTAAACTTTAGGTCAATTTTCTCAGAAACGGAAAGAACAGAAACAAAAGCACTTGCAAGATTGTAACTGAAGCAAAGGTAGCAGTAAAGCCTTTTATCAGACTAGCTGCAATACAGACTGTCCAAGAAGTTTCACAATCAAATCTCAGCCTTTACTTCTTCCTTATAGAATAAACATCTTCCTCCCATTAGTATTTTTATTAACAGATTTTTAATCCTATTTAGGAAGGACAAGTTTTATTCTTTTACAGACTCAAATGACTTAACAAGTCATTGTTCCTGTCCCTTGCCATCAGGCATACCTTCCTAAGACACCAGCTTGCTCACAAAATGAACATACAGACCATTCTGAATCAAGCCTACATGCATTTCACCAAGTTTGGAAAACAGGGACTCACACCTACATGATTCAAGTGTAACCAAACAAACCTTTAAACTGTACATGTAGAGTTGCTTCTTCTGATTAAGGAGATTCCTAGAACAAAGGAGATCCTCAGTGGAAGATAGCTTTACCTCCTAAGGGTATTAAATACCACAGTTCTGAGCTCCAAATGTTGACAGGGACCTACCAATATCTGTGGGCCTACCAATATCAATGTGGCCTACCAATATCTGCCATGCTACCTAGCACATTACAGTGTTTAAAGAACTGACAGTGTTACACAAAGGAAGGAGTTTCCTTTTACAAGCTGATTACCATAATGCTTTGCCATCTCAGCTGAAAACTAAAGCCAACTCCCCTTAGAAACACTATTGTTTTTAGGACAAGTCCAAACCTAGGTTTCTTGCAACTGACTCACCATGAATAAATCTTCCCAAATTAAAGACTCAAATGAAATTACAGTAGATGTGATATGAGTTGAAAAATATGAAAAAATATTCCAGTATTAAAAGATCACATACTAGCAGTTATTGTTTGCCAAATCTGATTGAACAAGTCTGACTGTGTCTATTGGAAAGCCACTGATCTGGCATCAAGAGGGCAAAGGTGTTCTCTACCTCTCCAGCGTAACATCTGAAAAGTTCAGCATCAAAAATTCATTGACTGCAAAACTGCCTACTGCCTCCTTCATGGTGAACAACAGTATCTTAAAAATGCCAAATATAAGGACAAAGAAAGCATTTATTAGTGCTTTTCCTACAATTATTTCATTGCCTCAATCTGAATTTCAGCTTATGCCAGGAGCAGAGAGTCGCTCTGCTTCATCACTCTTGGTGGAATTTCCTCTCACATTTTTCCATAAATTCACAGCTCTGTATCGTCTGTTTTATTATTATTCTTTACACTACTTCATTTTTTTGACCACTACTAAGCTAGTATCTTTACAGAGATACAGATTTCATGTATCACTACCTTAGCCACAACTGAAAGCTGTCAGCTCAGAGCTCACCACTACATAAAACAGGATTAGCAGTTTTCTCCTGGCTGCTTCACTTTACCTATACATCACATTTCTTCTGATATTATTGATGTTATTGCTATTCATCAGAAGTAACCTCCCACAGTTAGGCTCCTACTTATTCATACAGGCCATTCTGAAAAGCTTACTATCATGAAAAAATGTCAACTGTTCTTCCTTTTATCTGTATCATATATGAAACCTACTGAATAACACAAATACAGTGCAGATCTCCACAAGATTCTACTGGCAGCTCAAATTTAGTCCATCAATGTTTCTGATCATGCATGAAAAGACTTCTCATGTCATGCTTTTTGGTTTTCTGAAGAGGCTTTGGTAAGGATGTGGTCAAATAAATAGTTAAATGCATCTCCCTTGATGAGATGACTGAGGATTCCCCCAGATCTGAAGAGTGTTGTCTCACTCTTCAGAAGTCAGGGTCCCCACTAACCTAGTCTAAGCCCTGCATCTAATAAAGAGCTGAATCATAAAGAATTTTCAATAAAGAAAATAAAGAGTAAGGAGAACTGTGCTATTGGTTTCCCTGTAGTCTCACCTGGAACTGATGTACTGTAGAAAATAATTTGTCGCAGAGGGTATATCTGATGTCAGAAGGCCAGCATTCTGCACATCAGCAGTTTCATTGCTTTCATCTCCTAGCTAGAAAAAGAACAAGTATATATCAATAATATTAATCACAAAATTTTCAACTCATTCTTCCTGAAGACAAAGTTTCATCCACAAATGCTTTCTACAATAAAACAAGATATGTCCCAATATTACACCTTCTTTTATCATGCTAGGAAGCCTGCGCAAACCTGTCTTCAACAGGAGGTACTAACAATCCAATTCAGTTATTCTATGCACAAGTTTAAGCCCAGGTTCAGCCTATTTTTCCATCATTTCTGTGAAGTCTTGGTTGCATTGGAGCAGATTAGGACCACATTTCAACTTCATTCTAACTCAAAAAGTAAGAGAAGACACTACATTCTACTGAGCTATAGTCGCTACTCACAATTGCAGTAGATGTTTTTTTTTTTAAACAAAAAGGTTCTATGTTACTTAACAGAATTCATTTATTAAATGTCCAGAAGACTAGTTTTATTAAGCAAACAACTCTGCTGTGTTCATAGCTTTTACTTTTACATATATTCATAAACTCTTAGTCAAGAGAACAAATGTGTTTACCTTAACTCTATCTCGTAAATTTTGCCCAAAAACAAATGCTTGCTGTGCATTTAGTTCAGCCTTCTCAGAGCTGTCATCATCTGAAGTATTGTTGGACTCCTTTTGCTGACATTCTGCTGCCTGAAGAAATGGAAAAATGTAGCCAAAGAAGCTGAGTTTCTTTAAATAAAACCACCTTATGATAAGGTGAGTCACACATTCATTTACAATGCCAAGCCAACAACTCTTTCAGATCTATAAGGCATGTTTTGCATTTAAATAATGTCTCTGTTGTTAAGTGTTTTTCTTAGCAAATCACAGAATAGTAAAGGTTCAAAGGAATTTCTAACAATCACTTGGTCCAAACTGTGTTCAAAGCAGCACCAACTTCAAACTTATATTAGGCTGCCCAAGATCTCATATCAAGTTTCAAAAGATCCATGTGACAGTTTTACATTTTGGTAGTCTGGTTCTGAATCATGATTTTAAAGGGCTAAGATTTTAGCTGAGGATTAGAACCAATTCATACTGAAGTTAGATACACTAATGATAGGTTAATGATTATTAGATGCTGAAGCTAATGGTTATATTATGAGCTCATTTATAGAAGGAAGTGGAGCAAGTGAACCATTATAGGAACATATTGAAACCAGCAAAACAATGCCCAGCACCTGGACTCCATGTCAATCCATCAGGGAGCAGGGGGCCTAGAATGGTGCCAGAAGGTCACAGAGAGTTGACAAAGACTTCCTGACTTCATCCTGGGGACCACTGACCCAATTAGAGACCACCACCCCAATTCAAGAGAAGAAATGCGCACATGTGAAGGACTAATAACCTCATTTTAATACAGAGTGGAGATGCTGGGGTTATGCATATGTATTATTTTGGGAAATAAACAGAAGGCAAAAATCCTTGTGTGGTGTGGTCACACATGTCAAGGACAACCCCCCACCCCATGCTGTAATAAACATACTACTTGTTAACTTTAATTAGTTAAGAGTCTTTGTCTGCAATATTTGGTTTTAATGATTTACTTGGTGAGCCAGCCAGGAGGAGACTCTGCTCAGATGTGAGACCAGCCCAGGTCATGGACCCCCTCAGGGCACACCCAGAATATTCCTGGAAGAGTGAGGTCTACTGCCTGGACTGTTCATCCAGCAGCAGCCAAGGACCCCTGACTACTAAAATTCCAGACAAAATTGTGTGTTTATAAATTGAAACTGTTTTAAGTAGTGACCTTTAAGGTGTACGCGTGGTCAAGAAAGGCTGTTGGTAAGTCATGGGAGACGTCCCATGTGAAACTTGTGCCCCTATAATGTGTTTGCAAGCTGAAGTTGAAATTGAAATCTGGTTGTCAGCAGAAAGAGTTGTTAAACCGCCATACAGAGCTTGGGCTTTTGCTGCTGACAGCAGGGGATTTTGCCATTTCTTTCACCATGGAGGGCTCAGTCTGGTAGCAATTGGGGCTAGCAGTCATGAGGACAAATCCCAATCTCAATTAATTGTAAATGAATCCTGACTGTCAGACTTTGTGAGAGTGTTTGTTGAGACGTGCTGTTGGCATGACGCAAGTGAGAGTTTGGACCCATGGTTCTGTTTTTGGGCGACTCAAACAGCCGGGGAAAAACAAAGTGAGTGGGGTGCATGATCCTTAATAAATCCCCTCCCTGTTGTGACTCTGTGTGTGTGTACATGTGTGTATTTTGGTTACAGGGGATGGAATTTACTGTAATACCCACTGTTTACTTTAAAATGGTTCAGACTCTGAGAAATTATAGGGGCAGCACTTTGCTCTTCAGTTGTTTATGTTTGTGGAATTTAAAACATAGAAGTTGAGTGCTGTAAGTGTAGTGTGTTTGTATATTGTTAGACTGCACAAAGTGTTTCCCACAGGAATAATAACATTGTGATGTTGTAATGGTGTTTGGAGTTGTGTATTTTTGTGGCAACACTGTCATCTTGTGTCAAAAGTTGTAAGTGTAGCACACGTTGAGTGTGAATAAGTAAAACTGGTTTGTTTGAAGCCTTTGGTAAGAGTTTATTTGTGGATTTAGGTATGGGGATTGTGTTTGTAATTATAATAGGGGTAGTTTTGGTCTGAGAATCCTATCTGGCCAGACGGATAGGAGGAACTCCTTTGATTCAGTTGTTTGGGCTCAACTCGTGAGAGTTTGTAAATTTAGTAAACTGGTGGATAGATGGGAAATGAGAGAGTGTATTTAAAAGGTTTATATCAGATGTCTGCTGGGGGACTAGTGGCTTTGGATTGGGAGCAACCAGCTGTGGAGAATTTATAGAGTCGAGAAGGGGTGAATGGAATAGCTTGCATTTGTGGGAATTTTCCTGCAGCTTTTGGTACATCTCGAGGTTGGCATTGCACATGGGTGTTTCTGCAGTGTAAGATTTGCATAGGACATTATTACTGTTCTTCTGCTAACTGGTACGGAGAGCGTGTCCAGTGTCAACAGCTCCCTGATCAAGCTGATCTAGAATCAAGGATTTTAAAGCTGGTGTGTGGAAAGTCACATTTAGTACCTGAGTGGTGGGCTGTGCGAGAAGACTAGGAAAGGACTGTACAAATCTGTGAAGCCAGTTTTGGGTGGAAGTGAGACAAGAAGCAAAGGAGAAGGCAATAAGGATTGGAGTGCTGATCTCAGATATGGGCCCCAGCAAGGCCTTTGAAGCCTTTGACACAGTAAGAGATTAGTTTGTGATGCAGTTAGAAATGATGTTAAGGTAAACACAGTATTAAGGAGCCATCTGAATGTGAATTGGTATAGGTCTGCAGTGTGAAACTCTAGTCACCTTAAGATGAAGACAAACAATGTTTGCTGGCTAATGATAGGGCGCTCAAAATTTGTAAACTATATTTAAGTGTATATAAACTGCCATCTTATAAACAATAAACGGAGAACGTAGCATTAACCATATTGGCTTGATCTGCATTTGTCCTGTCCAGCATTCCCTATTTTATAAGAAGTCCCTAGCTTCTGAAGAGGATCAATGAGAAGCAACCAGAGTAAAGAAATCCCCAGAAGTAGTTCTTTAGGGTGTACTTTGGCACACTGGAAGGAACTAGTAGGGTATTGGGGGATAGAAAATAAAAGGACCCTTGTGAAACTTTCCACACAGTGGTGGCCACTTTAGAGGTTTGAAAAGGGGGTCAGGTGGCTTCCAACTGAAACTCTACGTTATGAGACTTTGTTACAGCTTATGTTATTTTTGAGACAGGAACAGAAATGGGAAGAGGTGATGTATGCTGATATGCTTTTCTCCCTCCAGAACCACCCTAAGTGGCAGAGGGACTGTGGACTCGGGGCTTCCTCTGACCTCTTTTTATTGGCCCTGGAAAAAGCTAATGAGGCTAGAAGGGGGAGGCTGAAATGGTGTTGTAGTGCATGCTCCATAAACCAATGCTGCACACACCCAGACAAGGTATACCCAGCTGACTCACTGGAGCAAGAGTTGGGGGATCTTTGAACCACCTCTTAGAAAGCAACGGAAGCAGAGAGGGGCATAAAATTTGGGAACAACCTCAACTCCAGCTCCAGCTCTTATTCCACCTCTCAAGACTTCACCCTCAATTTCAACTCCAGCTCTTGCTCCACCCTCTAACACCTCTGTCCAAACTCCAGCTCATATTCCATCCCCCACTCCACTACTATTTCAACCCCAGCTCCAGCTTTGAACAAAGCTATTTCTGTTTTAACTTCAGCTCTGGTTTTAAACTCAGCTGAATCAACTCCAGCTTCTCTCTCAAGTTCAACTCCAGCTTTTATTCTATCTCCCACCTCGAATACTCCTAAATCTTTCCAACTACCCAGCAGCGACAGTGAACAAGAGGAGCCCCTCCAGAGGCCCCTATAGCATCCCAGACTTGGAAACAAACTAAGAAAATTATACAAGCACCTTTGAGGGAGGCAGTAAGTCCTGAAGGGAAGACAATGTCAGTTAAAATCCCTTTTTCTACAGCAGTTTTAGAGGTTTGGGAAAAGATTGTTAAACATTATCAGAGTGAACCAATAGGTGTTGCAAAGAAATTAAAGTTTATGATGAAACAGTGTCAACCTAATTAATTAGATCTCCAGCTGTTGTTGGATGCCCTAATGGAAACAGAAAAACAACTGATTTTAAAGATAGCTGGGGGTTTAGCAGAAGATGCTTGTAGAATAACACAGAGTGATATAAGAGATGTCTTTCCTCTCCAGGATCCACATAGGAATGCTAATGATGTTAATGATATGGGAAGATTAGAGGATTATCAAGACTTCATATGAAGGGGGTTAGAACGGGCAATTCCTAAACCAATAAACTGGTCAGCCCTATATACAATTAAGCAAAGTCCCTCCAAAACGCCTTCTGAATTTCTAGAACATTTGTGGGATGCAATGTGTCGTTATACAACCTTACATCCCGAGTCTGAGGAAGGAATACAACATCTAATGGGTTTATTCTTAGGACAATCTACACAGGACGCAAATTAGACAAAAATTTCAGAAGATACAGTTCCGACAGCACAGGATTTAGAGACTTTGCTAGAAGAGGCATGGAGAGTATTAAGTAACTGGGAAGAAAAGTGCAAAGTAGGGATGAAAAAATTATTAGCAGTAGTAAGGCAAGAAGAAAAAGGGAAATGTGGACAAGGGCCACTAAGGCAGGGACCATGTCAGCTAAGGAGAGATCAATGTGCATTCTGCAAGAGAGTTGGACCGTGGAAGAACCAGTGCCTGGAACAAAGAAATAGCAATGAACAAAGAAGAGATCAAAAAGGGAGGGTGGTGGTTGCCCATGTAAAGGAAGACTGATGTGGACCAGAGGACCTTACCCTAAGGGACCCTCTGGTTATAATGAAACTAGGGAACAAGGAAAAGGAAATGTAAATTTTGATAGACACAAGGGCAACATATTTGGTATTAAATAAAGCTTTAATACCTGTAACAGATGATTATATCATGATAAAAGGGGCAACCGGCCAACCTGAAAGAGCTTATTTTTCTAGGCCATTGAAATATAAACTTGGGAAACAATGGGGAATTCACAAGTTTTTATATATGCCCAATTCTCCATCAGAACTTTCGGGTAGATTTATTGGAACAATTAGAAGCAAAAATAATATTAAAAAATGGAGAGATTACTTTGGAGGTTAAGGACCAACAATATGTGGAATTGTTAAGCCTCATACTAACAGCCAGTGAGGCTAAAGCTGAAAGTGAAGATGAGATTCACAGAAAAATATTGGATCAAGTATTTCCTTTGTTTATATGTTGAACAGTCCTAAGGAATGCCTCTAGTGACTGACACTTGTCAGACTTCCAATCACTGGCTGCTACCTGCAAAGCTCACTGCTTCTGTCAATTTATCACCCACTTTAAATTCCACTCAACCAGTATACCTCTCTCCATTTTGGCTACAACAATGATACTTCAGACCACACAAAGATCTTGCCTAAAGTCAACAAGTAGGGCTCTCTGCAAAGCAAATAAACTCAGAGGATAAAAAACCCATCGGGTCGGTCTCTGTTTTATCTATACTGGCTGTTCTCAATCCCTTTAAGGTGCTTCATATCCTAGGATTCCTTCACCACAAAGGGAGAAGAAGGAGCTGAGCCATTTCTGTTTTCCTGGAACCTCTTTCTTGCTATTCGTGGAAACATGTGACATGCTTTCTTCTTTCCCAGTAACTGGGACCCACCACAGTACCATAACTCTCTGAGGACAGGCAGGGGTCTCACACAAGCAGCCCCCAGCTCCCTGCCTGAGTTCATTTTCTTGCCAGTACAACACTGGCACAACACTGTATTTTGGATCCAGGATGAGAATAATCTTGATCATGCACTGATATTTTGGCTGTGGCTCAGTCATGCTCACACCAAGTCAAGGATTTTTCAGTGTCTCATGCTCTGCCAGCAAGGAGTTGCACAAGAAGCTGGGGGGGAACACAGCTAGGACAGCTGACCTGAACTGACCAGAGGGATATTCCACACCATAAAACATCCTGCCCAGTGTGTAAACTGGGGAACTGCTGGCGAGGGGCTGATGACTTCTGGGAGGCAGGCTGGGCACAGATCAGTGGGTGCTGAGCACCTACACTGGGCACCACTTCTTTTCTTTGTGTTTTATCTGTCTCTGTCCCCTTTTCACTACAATTATTATTATTATTATACTGTACTCTGTTTCAACACTGTTCTTATCTCAATCCCCTAGCATTACCTTTTTCCTGATTCTTCTCCCTATCCCAACTGAGTGGAGGGAGTGAACAAGTAGCTCCATGGTACTTAGCTGCCAGCTGGGGTTAAACCATGACTCCCCTCTGCACCTATGGATACACCCAGTCTGGTCCTATGGACCTGTGTACATCAAACTGTCTAAAACAGTCCTTAAGCAAATTTATTGTAATAATTCTCTCCCTCAAACTCCCCTAAATAAAGGACTTGGTAGATCTGACAGCAGACCTCTTCAGTGGAAAACAAGACAAAGGTATTGAGTACAAATTTTTTTCATTTTTTTCACCACTTCAACATTTTGCAGGTCTACAATTTTCCTTCATTTTACCTTTGCTGCCAATACTAGTGGAAGCCTTGCTTGCAGCTTTTCATTCCCTGTAATTTCCAACTCCAGCCAAATTTAGGCTTTACCAGTTCTCCAACACATCCAGGCAATCCTACTGCATACTTCTCAGGTGTCTTGACTGCTTTCACAAGATATATGCACATTCTCTTTCTGGATTTAAGGAGCTCCCAAGCCCAAACACTGGTCTCCTGCCAAATTTGCACAGTTTCATGCGCTTGGGATAAATTATTCATTATCTGAGGTGGCTGCCCATGAAGGTAATGAGCTCTCATGAGCTCTGCTGTCCTTCAGAATCCTACCAACCAGCTCAATGAACAACCTGAAGTCTTCTGTCCTGAAGTATGGATCTTTATTCTGCTATTTATTAGCTCCCTGAGTATCTCAATCTCATTGATGTCTCAATGACAGCTACTCTCTTTGCATTTCTAGCCAGTTCTTTGCTGTGAATACCAGGTACAGCTAAATACCTTCCATGTCAACTTAGCCAGCATATGCAAATATGCTCAGCAACTTATTTCTAAGATCTCCAAGAGTACTCAGGAGGATTTCCACCAGGACATGTTGCCATTTTATCAGGTGTCCAAGTACTAAAGTCCTCCTTTAGAACCAAGGCCTGTAATTGTGAACCTTTTAGTTCTTAAGGGTGTTAGTTACTTTCTCTACTTTATCAGTCCAAGTCTGGTGAAGGTTCATTTTGATCTCACTCTTGTTGGCTTCCCCTCTGATCTTAATCTATAAAGCCTTCCCAGTGCCTTCCCAAAACAAAGCCTCTGCATTCAAACAGCTTCTTTTAGCATAGCAGAAGCCATCCCTGTATGTCTTTCCAGCCTTATTTCCTAAAATATTTACATTTGTCACTTTAAGTCTCCTTCTCCAACTCACCTTGTCTTCAGAGTCTGAACTTTTCAATGTTGCATCACTTAGTGATTGTGATGTGGCTGCAGAATCTGGAGGGATATTTACACCATTGGTGCCACTGCTGAGAACTGCAACACAGAAACAAACAATATATACATGAACCCTCTAGATATTTAGACTGTCCTAAAAGTTTTCTTGTTTAAGTCCATTAAACATTGCAATGTAAGCTAAAAATTTCCCATATTTTGCAAGAGACATGAGGACCACAATTCAGCAATGCTTAGCAGAATCAAAGTTCCAAATGCAGAAAACCAAGTCAGCAAATTAATCTATACAAATGTTGTAAGGACTTCAATATGTACAACTTCAAGCAACCATCCTTCTCCAATCTAATACTGTTCACACCCAGCAGGGCTTGTCTTCAGACTGATCTACCTGCTCACATACGAACTCTCACTGAAAATTTTACCCCAATACTAAGTCCTCTGTAGAATCCAATCTGTGTCAGGAGGCACGTCAAGAAATCAAGCTAGAATTGTTTGGTTCTATGCCAGATTCTGCATTACCTGAAGTTACTTCTGTTTCTGTTTAACTAAACTTCCATATAACAAATAGCATCGGGCTGGGGAAACATGGGGTTTAAGAGACAGGGACTTTAAACAGATTTTGCATTAATTTCCACACTTTAATCATGTCTGCTTACATCAGCTACATCAAATTCTGCAATTCCATAATACAAAAAGCATTATATGAATGATCAAACTTAAATATTAAAATTCTGTGTTCAGAATTAAAACTGTACTTCAAAGCCCCAACTGCAAAATGGTCCCTAAGCCCAGAGGCACCTCTCACTGATTTAGGTACTTTACTGTTGATCAATTACCAATAATAGCTTATTACATCATGGTCAATGCTGTCATTTGAGATTGATTACTTATCCATACTCTTACAAGTCTTTTTATTTCAAAACTCAAGTATTGACTACACCGAAGTTAGAAGCCTGGCAACATCAGTCACCCTACACAAGATCTGAAGGTTCCACTATGTTATCCTTAATGTAATACAGATACGCTTACTGTTTAAGATGTTTCTTTTCTGTAAGGAGAAAACTAGAAAAACCAAGGTGAGCATTGAGTAAAAGCAAACCACCACAGTAAAAAAATTCAGTATTTTTGTTCTCTCTCCACTGTATTTAGAATGCAAAAGCATTATTTACCCATCTGTGAGAAAGCTTTTGGCTGCGGTGCCTGTAGTACTGCTGGACGGAGCACACTTCGCTGCTGTTCCTTCGGTTTCTGGCTAGGGAGACCTGCAATTGCAAAGGTTTTTCAAGAAGTATAAAATTTTAAAGTTGGAAAATTCAGCTTCACCTAATCTTCACTAACTGCTTCCAATAGAAGACAATTAAAAAACAGACAAAGCTTCTACTCCTTTTCCATCCCTCCTTACTCAGCCTCAAAAGAGAATTAGTCCCAAATAGGGAAGACTATTTCCTAGCCTAAAAAGACACTTTAAAATACACTGTCTACCTTATCCAGGAAAGCATAGATGAAATTGATCTAGAAATAGCCCTATTTATGCACTGAAATTTCATTCAACTACACATTACAAGTCTTCTTTTCTCCTTCTAATACCGTACTTTCCAGATAGTAGTAATTTTTTTTTTTATCCATGCAATCAAACATATTGGTACTGTAATAGTTGTGTTGTGTAATTTAACAACCTTTTGGCTTTTTGAATTAACCTGGCTTGTTTGGTTATTATAGTAAGATGTACAACACTACAACTCTAATTCTGCTATGATTCGAAAAGCTAACTGACCTTAAAAAACCTAATTAAAAAAACCCCAAACATTGTAACATTAACTCTAGAAGGTTATGGTAAGCCTGGAAAATTCAGTTTTCTTCACTAAAAAAGGTCAAGATGAACTCTTGATCCAATAAAATACTGCAACAGAACTCACTCATAGCAATTAGTTCAATTTCAGCTCACCCATATTAAAAGGGCATGACATCAGATTTTAAAGCTATCCAAAGTTCAAACACTCATAAGCTCAAAACAGCTTGTTCCTTTCTTAAATTTACCACTCTTCCTTCAAGTGAAATGAAGTTTCCATATTGTTATGCAACAATAGCTTTCGTTACCTATATAGTTTTGGGTTGTTTTTTTTCCCCCTCAAATTCCTAAGGAGTGTAATACTAATATCTTTCTGATAGTGGCTGTGTATACATCAATAAACAGGAAACTCAGTCATAGCCAACCTGTAGTGCAGAACAGGAATGATCAAGACCTGCCACTTACATTGCTGCCAAAAGCCAGGGAGAGCAGAACTGGGCATTCTCTTGACACTTCCTGGTCACAGACTAAATACTCAGTAATGGCCAGAACTTGCTCAAGACACTTGTTGAACATGCTTTTTCTTATTGTTTGCTACCAAAGAAATCAAATTCACTGTCTGTAGGATAACTCCAAGCACAAACAGAAGCTTGCTAAGCAGCAACAGCTGGGAGATCCACTTCAGACATGCACAGCTGATCCAATGCGTCCATACGCATTACACAGCAGATATGGGCACAACCACTTAGAGAAGACAAGACTTTTTCCTGTAGACACATAGGTATTGCTACCTTCTATTTACACTAGCTGATTGATGAAACTACTAATTAAGATGCTTGAGCTGGTTACTGTTGCAGTAAACAGTGAACTCACCTGCACTAGGCGCCTGACCATGTATAAGTATTGGTGGCTTCAGCCGGAATCCACTGCTCTTTTCCTCTGGAAGTGAAATACAAAATTACAAGGACAAAGCTGTAACATATTAGAAATATCCATTCAGTCATAAAATTGCTCAGTTTTCCCCACTGTAACAACCCACAAGTCCTATAAATACACAAAGTTATTAGGAGCTTTCCAAAGAACAAATTCTCTTCTTCTGAAAGTAACCTGAATTTCCAGCAATCATCACAGACAAGTAAGAAGTTCAAATTTTTTTTTCTGAAGAAGCAGGAAAGGTACTATGTTCATCAGAGAAATCGGGCTCCTTCTGTGAAGGATTTAATATAGATAATAAAGGTTTTAAGTGAGAATCAAACTAAAGAAGGAAAATCAAAGTTATGACCGAACATGACAGCTGCTAACAACTATAACTCCTAATGATCATGAACCAAGTTAAACTTAATTGCTTAATGTTAGTTTCTTGTAATAATAAGCTTTTACTCATGCTTTTGTAGTAGGAAGATAAACTCCTTTGCTCACACTCAATACAGTTATGGTTTTTAAATTAAATACCAAAATCTCAAAAAAAAAATTATAAAACTACAGCTCTTAAAAACTGAGTTCCCTAGAACTTATACAGAATAATTACACTTCTTTCCTTTTAGGGGCTTAATATCTGTACTCAGAATAAGACAACTCAGCATCTTACAGTCTTCACTGTGCTTGGTTATAAGCATATGTAACATGCATATGTAGTGCAAATGATGTGCACTACAGTGATACCAAGACAACTGAACTAGAACTATGGAGACTAACAAAATTGGCAGTTCTGTCAACACAGGGCTCACAGGTCATAGCTGGACACAGTCATACCTTATGGTTGTTTTGCTTTCCAATATAAAATAACATTTTTCCAAAGTAGATACATTAAGCTTTCCCAAAGGTTTTATTGTGAGGCTAGCAGGTAAGGGCCATGCTGCAGTATTCTACCATCACTCCCAAAGCATTTAACAACTTTGATATTATTTTAATTACCTCCAGCAATGGTGATGTTGAACGATGAAGTGAGCAAGAGAACAGCACTAAGATCAGAACTATCATCACTTCCATTCTCACAGACAGAAGTACTTCTTACTTCTGAAGTATCCGATTACTTTAGACCACGACAAATTAACAACAGTTCAAGAAAAAAGCAGAAAAATGAGGAAGCTCACCTGGTTCTGAGTCAGAATTGCCCACAGAGGGTTCACAAAAGCTTGATGGCATAAAGACATTATTCTTTGTTACTGCAGTCAAGGAAAAAGGAAAAAAAAGGGAAGTTGTGTATGTTGTTCTTTATTATAAACCTGTTCCCAAACTTCAAATTGAAAACTACTCTTCTAGTGTTTTATTTTGGTTTTATTTCTTCTAAATTAAAACAGCATTACAGCTGAAGTAGCAAACAAGCCATTGTCCATAAAATCCTTTCAGTGTCTCCTGAAACAGAGAAAGAACCAATTTCATTTTTCCGAATCCTGTATAAATACAGGATTCCCAATCTGAATTGTATCTGAATTAGGAATTAGAAGTGGTGTTAGTATATATTATAGCACTGCAAAATGTATAATACCATTTCAAAAGTCCCTTGCAAAGAGAGAGAGCAGAAAGGTGTGTAATGCCTGCTAGAGAGCAGAAGTGAACATCTGGGCTCTGATGGACCACACTATTTTCACCAAGAGGCAGCTTAGGTTTGAACTACCCTGCAAAGATAAAACTCCTATAGAAACAGAGGAGAGCACATCAGAGTACTGCCAGATGTCACCTCAGCAGCATATTAGTAAACCAAAGGGAAAGCATGTTTGAAAAAACAGGCAAAGGACAGCATTTCTTATCCACCCTTTGCTGGGTCCTAAAGAAGCAAACAACAGGGAGTTTGGCTGACACCCTGTCCAGCAGTTCTAGCACTTTTGGTGTTATACAAAAATCACAATCCAGTTTATAAAATAGGACAATCAGAAGGAGACAGATTTCTCCAACAAATAATTTTGCATGAAGAAAAGCATAACAGTACTTACTGGCTCTTTTAGCTTTTATAAGGCTGTAGAAAAAGTTCAAGTATGTTGAAAAAAGAAATGAAGATCACCTCTGAAGATCACTCTACTAAAAAATGTGGCATTTGCCTTTTATAATTAAGTCTTAAAATTTTTTTCTAATTTCCTTTTTTTCCTCTTACTTCCTTCTCTTTTTATTATTGTCTGCCTTAAGCTTAAACATGACAGTTTTCATGTAAGTAAAACTTCCCTATTCCTGAGAGAAACATAACCCCACCAAAAAAAAAAAAAAAAAAAAAAAAAAACCAAAAAAAAAAAAAAAAAAAAAAAAAACCCACAAAAAAAAAAAAAAAACAAAAAAAAAAACCCACAATGTTGGGAAAGTAAAAGATTTTCTGGAAACCAAAGCCATTGAATAACATCAACAATATTCAAAGAGGCCTTCATGGAACTTGCAATTCAAACCAAAGTTGTCACTGCTTGAGAACAACACACATCAGAAGAGAAGAAAGGTGTCAAGGAATAAATCACCACATCCTCTCAAAATTCATTAGCTAAGCAGAGGCTTGAGAAGGATACTCGACTCCTGGAATATCCAGTATGTAACCAAAGAAGAGATGAGTAAATTATTTTCCTCCACTTCTTAACAGATGTTAGCATAGAGATTATAATCTTATACAAAGACATTGCAGGATGCAAGTGTTAAGAGATTATAGGGAGCCTGGGTATAGACAAACTATTATTCTAACAGAAAATCTACAAAACTCTGTATTTATTATTTTTGTGCATTCCTTTACTAAGAGTGGTTGGCAAGCAGACAGCAACAACCCTGATCACTCAATTCACAGGATGGCGTATGGAGACCCACTGAGCTGCACACCAGGAAACTGTGGTCTGAAAGAGAAGAGCTTCTTCCCCTGACTAGAACTGGTGCATGACTTGAAAATGCTATGCCTATAAAGTATTTGGATTTCACAGTCATTTTTTTCTTTAAAATTAAAATCAAAACAACTAGGCTTTCACCTTTTAGTCACATCTCCAAAATGTGCTGCATAAGAGAGGAACATTTTTTTTACTGTTTCTTCCTTCAAGGTTTTTAATCTCCTCTGTTTCAACTTAAGACATAGAAATAAAGTAGCAGTCTCGAAATCTGCCTCAAACACTGACATATTTTAACTAAAATAACCATTGACCAAAGCTAAAACCTTCATATGACCAGTGAGGAGAGACGGCACAAATTAAGACAGTTCCTGTGAGTGAACATCAAATATGACCATTCCATACAAGTGAACTGCATGAATTTACCTCAGTAAATTCACTGCACTGACTGTACACACACACAGGCTGTGGTCATTCTCTCTTGCATTTGTCAGGTGCTTAAGAAATGCACTGAATCCCCCCCATTTTAAAAGGAACGGGAGAAAAGAAGAGGACTAAAACACAAGTTGAGACTTGAAAAACTTCCCTGGCAGCAGAGTAACTAAGAAAAAGGTAGCACATATAAATCTGGAAAGAAGCAACCTGATCACAATAAATCAAGAAGATTTCTTGTTAATTCTGAAATTTAACAGCACAAAAGTAAAAGGTGAAACTACAAATACACATAAACTTACAGATAGAAAACATTTTTTAAAACTATTAGCTCCTTTGGGCTTCACCAAATTTGCTAACATGAGTACATGGCTGCTGTGGTCTTAACTGAAAGCACAACAGACAGTAATAAGACTGCTTATATGACTGGAAAAAGAATGTTTAGGTAGGAAAACCATCCCTCATATATAATACTGTAGCAACATTTACCTGACTGAGAAGGAGGGAACTGAGTCAAAGATGAAGTTCTCTCACGTTTTACAGGTGGGCAGTAGCTTCCATCCTCACGATCAGATTCTGTAGAAAAAAAAATTATTAGAAAAAACACAGAACATCCCAGCAAGACACACACTCATGGCTTTTAATTTTACAGTAAAATCTCTTACCATCTCCATCTTCTGGACTTGATCCATCTGCAGATCTCTGAAATCAGATTACACTGATCAAACAAAGATCACATACTAAATATTTCAGTCTCTTGAGTTTGATCCAAATGTTTTAAACATCAGTTAGGAGAATTTTTCTTTAATGTCAGTGATACACACTCAATGCAATAATCATCTGTGACTTATACTATCAAAATATTAATTAATTCAAAATATTTCTTTACAAGTAATGAAATTCTTGAACATTCCCAACCACTAATATCTTTAGGGACTGTGTAACAATTACTACAGTTACCTTTTCTATATACTGAAAATTTGAAAATGACAGTTTTCAAATTTGGTTTCATTTTTTAAATATAAAGTTTCAAGCTCAACATAAATATACTCATTATTTGGGAGTTCATTCCAAAGCACTTTACCTAATTACTCTAAGTGACATTAGTTCCTTCAACAAAATTATAGCATTAGAAGAATGTCTTTCAAAACATGCTCTATAAGCCAGTACAACAGTATTTTTATTGGAATTAGGATTGGATAGTCCCTTAACATCTTCCACAGTACCAGAACAAAAAAGGAAGCATCACAGGCTACCAACCAGCATAGATACTAAAAAAAGTCTTTGAACAAAGGTTTTATGTATTTTCTGAGGATTTCTATGGCCCCTTCCTCTTACCTCTCTACCAGTTCCTCAACTAATATAATCTCCTTTCCACCTCCAAAAAATAACTCCATGACAGATTCCTTTCACTGTGGAAGGTGATCACAGCTGCACCAGCATCTTCATCTCACTACAAAACATCTCAGAATAATCGAATTGCTTAGGTAAGCAAGAACATTTAAGATCATCAAGTCTAAGTGATCCCTCAGAACAGCCATATCCAATGCTAAAACATGCCACATCCACACATCTTACAAATTCCTGCAGGGAAGATAGCTCCACCACTGCCATGGGCAGCCTGTTCCATGACTGCACAAACATTTTGTGGAACATGCTTTTCCTAATATCCAGTCTAAATGTTCAACTTGAAGCCATATCCTCTTGTCCTGTAACTTGTTACCTGGAGGAACAGACCACCCCTCACCTTAGCTACACCATCCTTTCAGACAGCTCTGACATACTGGACCATCTACCTAGTCCAACACTACCCTTTCATCCCACTCCTACCCCAGGACATGCAGATGGACACCTCCCCTTCACTCAGTCTTACTTCAGAAATTGGCTGATAAATGGAAGAATGGCAGCTTATAGGCAGAGCCCATTGATGCCCCAAAACTCCTTCTCCACTATGATTCAGCCCACCTGGGCACTGAGAGCAGGCAGACACACAGAAGAACTGCGCAAGTCTGCACAGGACTGACATCTGAAGCATACCTTGGGTGTAAGAATACCAGAAAGTACAAAACTTTCTATTTACCACTGCATACATTTAGAACCCAGATAATACTGTACTATCAGTACTCCGCTAAATGCTAATTAAAACCACTTACACTGCACTTAGGCTATTTAATTACCTTCAACGGCTTTTCTGTTTTGTTTTACGTTCATAAAAAGATATAGCTACCTCACTAGCACCCTAGTTGAGTACTTTTGAAACCTTTAGCATTGGGAATAAGAAGCTACTGACAGTTCTAGAATGCAACTCCCTGCATTCATACACACCTATCAGCCCAGCCATGTTAATACTGCACTTGATGATCCATGGCTCTTTCCACATAATTAGTCAAGTAGTCCATGGTACTACCAGAAGGTGGTCTTTTCAGTCACTGACCTTGCCAACACACAATACTTTCTCAAAAGATGAGGCTAAAATGGAAAATCATGATATAATGTATTTCAGCAATCAGCATCTGAACTCAAAATGATTCCATTTTGCATGTAAAGTGTTTTCACATATAAAAGCCATTTGTTTCCACTTTTATCAAAAATCCTGAAAATGAAAAGAAAACACTTGGTAAAAAATTTGCATGAGTGGAACTGCAGATCTGTATATGCAAAAATCCTTAAAAATAAACCAATTATTTCCACCTGAATGCCAAAATCTTAACATCTGCTTCATTCTCAATGCTCAAGTAACACATCCAAAAGTCAAACTTATATGATTTGAGGCACAAGCCTCAAATCATCTTATTACTGTAATTTTGTAACTGACAAGCACAACTAATGTACCATCACTGTGTTTAGTAGGTAACAGGCATCAATATCCAAAACTAACTCATACTCTACTGAAGGCAAAGCAGGACAGAAAATCTGCTCCGAGAGTTTTGGGAGATAAAGCTATGTACCTTTGGACAAATAGATGCCAGGTAGATTCTGTGAGGGTACACAGATCTACTGTATTAGCATAAGCTTCACTTTTCTATGATGCCACAAATAAAGTAAGTCACCACTGCAGCCAGAATTGCATACCAGTGCTGCTTCAGAGGAAGCTGGGTACACTAGACAAAAAGCAGAGGTATATACATATGACAAATCTGACAGACTGGAAAAGCAGCAGATTACATTTAGTGACAATGAAAAGCAGTCCAGCCTATCCATTTTACACCTCTCTTCTCAACCTACTCAGTCTGTACTTTACAGCAACATATGCTTTACACAAGTACCCCACAAAATGGAAACAAAAGGCAGGACCATCTCATCCTGTAAGAATCCATCAAGGTAATTAAATTTATCTCCACTCAGTTGTTTGGACTTAGATGCAGATGAAACACAAACTGGTAACAGCAAAATCCAACCTAGAATTTTCTCATTTAAGAGCAGAACCCACTTTTCACTTATTCTCTCTGTCCCTGGCTTTCAGAAATCCAGCTAGAGAAAAGTTACATATATGTCTCTATTTATAGAGGCTCCTACAATTAAGACACATTTCCAGTTAAGGAAATTAGTTTCATAAAGGCTACCAACTGCTTCTTAAAAGCCTAAGTCACAGTAGTTAACTAAATACAAACATTAATACCTCACGCAATTGTTACATCAAGCTAAGATAAGAACTTCAAAACTTAAAACTAGTCAGATTTTGCTTATTTACACTAGTAAGCAGAAACAGGGAGAGGAAGGGAGAATTTGGGTAAAGCAAAAAAGATCAATGCAATTTAGGGAAAACTCTAAGAGTACACTTCTAGTGTTTATCTTTGGAAATGCATTTTAAGATGCAAAAAAATCTATATATAAAGGACTTCAGAGCTAAGTAATGCAAGTCTTCAGTCCAGACACTCTGCACATACAGAGGCATTCTTGAACTGCTATGATTTGCTTAAAAGCTGTTCCAGAACCTCTTAATCAGCTTGGTCTTGCTGTGATGGCCACGTGCTGTGGGAGGTTGGTGTGGGTTAGCAGAGTTAGGATACAGCCATCAGCTCTGCAAGGGGCTGTACCTAAGGCCACACTGAATTCATGCCATATCAGAAATATCTGTGAGTGTGTGTACAAACAAGTAAACAACAAATATGCAGTGTCACTTCTCCTATCTTAACTCATTCATCTTCCCAGGCCCTGGGAAGACTGCATGAAAATTACTGCTCCTATGAGCCAGTACAAGCACTCTTAAGATGCATCAACCTTCTCTAGATTTCAAGGTAAGGGATGGTTTTACTGTATGACACTGTGATAATTTGAAGAGTACTTGCTAGTGTGTGCCAGTTACATACCCATACTGAGCACCATACAATTTGGTACATTTAATTGACTGGAATAAAAAAGAATTATGAATGAATCAGATGTTCTGTACAGCCACTACTTTCTGCATATGATCCCCAACAGCATTTGTGGGTTTTAAATTTCTTTCAGAACACAGTTAACTGGGATAAGATTTTCTGCTCTCTAAGAACAAGACAAAGATAACCACTTCCTGGTTAATACCATTCTCTTGGTCAGTTCTAGTAACACTGCAATTTCAAATGACAGAGAACTGAGATAAAAGTCTGTGACTATGCTTTATAGGAAAGATGTGTGATAACGTCTTTACAAACGATTCCATGGGTAATGGTATTATGGGTATTAACGTATTTGAAATGGGTCTTAATGTCTCCCCTAACTTCAAGCAGCAGGTTTGTTACTAGAGCCCAGACAGCCCAGCTCCTGAAACAGACAAGTTGGGGACTCTGCACAAGCCTGAACTTATGAACTTTGGGGTAAAATGATGCTTTGAAGGAGGAATATGCAATAGGCAGTTCGGGAAGGCTGTACCTTCCTAGTACTTCAGACAATGGGGAAAGGAAGAGGGCAACGTGCAGCCAGGAGCTTGGGATAAAAAGAGAAGGCTGCACCCTCCAGAACCTCAAGAGAGAAAACCCGGTGGGGACATACGGCCCAGTGGACACTCTCCTTTTTTATTCAAATGAAGTTGCAGGACTCCTCTGTCTCCTTTATGGACATTGGCTTTTCAGAGCGTGATTTTCTGTACATGTTTACCAGCTATATTTTAAAATATTAACCCTTAAAAATTTTAACCTTCAGAAAAAAGACTGAAAGAGTTCTGCAGGTAATCAAGCAACAGTCTGAACACAAAGAGGTCCTTAACCTACAGCTATTATTAGCACCTAATCATGACAACCCATTCAGTACATTTGAAATGGCCGATTCTTGGACAAAAAGCCCCAAACCAACCAGTGCAAGAGAAGGGTCCAGGTACTGGGTAGAGCAGCCTTAACAAAGCTTGAGCAAAGAGCACATGCCTAGGGTGTGATGCCAGAATGAACAGTGACACTCATCTGCACCAAGAAAACACGGTCCACCAACCAGAAAGATTAGGAACACTTAAAGTTGCTCTGAAAGACTGTATGGTAGGAGTCATTTAGTCATCCAATCCTTCAGAAAAGATTTTGCCACACCACCAGAAGAAAAATCAAATTATGAGCACTGACAGCTTTTCCACAAGATACTGATTTTCTCCCCACTCACTCCAAACACCCAAATCCAAAACTCTGCTATGATGCTTGGTGCTTTTAATCTGTTAAATACATTACAGGTTGCCATGACATACCCAGTGGAAGCAGTATTAGCTGCTCACTTTGTCAAGCTGCAGCATTGTGGCCCATAGAGGGAACAAAGAGTCCTCCTCTAACTGCTTGAAGCAAATCCCTCAAAAATAGACCCACCTTCTCATTTATTTAGACATGCTCTTGCCCTTAGCAAACACAGTTGACACTTCAAATTTTAAAACACTTGAGGTGTCTTCTACAGTTACGCTAATAGGGAGACTCACAAATTTCATTTCTTCTAATTGGAACGAGGGTTTAGAGACGACTAACACTTGAGATCAAAGAACCAGACAGACTGTGATTTGCACTACCTACAGTGAACAGCAACAGATTCCACCTAATAGAAGGGTCTTTTTCCTCTAATCCCCTCAGCAGCAGAAGTACTTGGTAGATTGACACTTACCCCTGCCAGTTCTTGTTGAATAGGAGCAAGCTGCGCTTCAGAAGCAGGACTCAGGGTAGCACTGACTGAGACCACAGCAGGAGCAGGGTGCTCAGAGTCGCACTCACCAGCTGGTTCTGTGTGACCCAGACCATGGTAGGGGGGCTCAACCTCTCCCTGGGGGTCCTCGCCTGAATCCGACAAAGCTTTTTGCTCTGCAGGGGACTGTGAGCAGAAAAGACAACGTCCCTTCAATGCAAGGCTGCAACATGAGATTGGTCGTCCTAGTGAGAGGATCCGTTTTTTTTTTTAATTTCACTGTTTTCACAGTATGGCAGAAGGAGCTGCTTGTTGCTGAGACACCACTTAAAATACATAGAAACTCTGTAACAGAACCTGCTGACAAAATTACTTCCCAAGCCTGCAAAAAGCCTTAGCTGGAGCAAATGCACTCTTTTGAAAGTCACCAATACCATCTGTACCCCCAGCCAAGAGGATTTTGCCAGCTACAGGCTTGTTGGGGTTTAACTCCTCCCCTCTCTCAAGGACTAAAGGACAGTTGATAGCTTTTACCTTCATATTCAGATATAAAAATTAGACAATTACTCTAAATAACTGTTCTTCACTGCCTCTTCAGCCCACTTTTGAAGGAGGTGAGGTTGGTTATAAAATTCTCACAGAAATTATTTTAACATTCACACAAGACACAGGATCCTTTCATATTTACATGACATGAATTATCTGAAAAGCAGCACCAACGCTTTTTTTTCATAAATTAGCAAGTTTCAGTCTATTTCAAGGAGGGAGGTGACTGGATAACTAGTGCACCCTAATGGGATTTGACTTCTGCCACAGACTTTTCACTCCTTCACATCATTTAATGCTGCACATCCCTGCCTGTACAACAAAAGTTTGCATTATCATATTCTGTATATATTTGAAGAACAAAAAAGTTATAAAAAGACTTGGAGCACAAACAACTGTATTGTGATTAAGGACTGAATTATAGTCCATGGATAACATGCAGGCCAAGGATGTGCACTTGTAATCTGCAGGCTGAGCTTCCCTGCATCTTTTGGTGAAGTATTTGAAGAATTAGCAGTAAGGAAAAGATGGCTCTCCAAAGGACACAACTCAGCTTGCTCCCAGAAAACACTTGGTAGAACAAAGAGACTAAAAATGCTCATCATTGCCCAGGTCTGTACAAGAAAGTAAAAGCCTGAAAAATAAACAGCAGCACTTAAGAGCCAAGTTCTTCAAGTAACACTTGTCCTGTCATGGTAACAAAAGCCAGCGATACATGAAATTTTATTATGCAAGAAATTACTATAATTAAGGCTCAAAATAGTCGAAATATATTTATGGGGCTATTACTATGAATATCAGGTAAAAGTTCAAGGTGCTGGGTTTTTGCACTGTCAAAGTTATCTAACATTTTAATATTTAGTTGTTAATAACAGATCCAAACACTAACTTAAAACCCCACAGAATGAGAAGAGTTAAAGAAACATTTTTTTCACCAAACACTTAATAAAATCTTGTAGTCTAGCCACCTATCCTTACCTTTTTGTCTGGGGAGAACAGCAGGAAAAGGCTACCTGGAACTGGCCATAGCACTCACAATATATGTAAAATAAAAAAAAAAAAAAAAAAAAAAAAAAAAAGAGCCTTACCAGAAACATACACTGACTTCTAGGTACAGTTTAGAAAATTGCTCGTAATGAAGAAGAGGCAAGAATATGCAATCCCAAGCACTTAAAATTGGAAATTACAAAATATTTTGCAAGTAATTCATATTGACACGGTTTAGAATACCCTAACCCTAAAGTAAGCTAAGTGAACATACAACAGATTTTAATAACTCCTGTAATATTTGAAATACTTGCTGTCAAACATTTAAAAAAGTGGAAGTAAGTACAAATCTGATTTCTATCCTAAGCAAGACTGGAATATCCACTTCAAGACCCACAAAAGAAATAAACAAAAGTAACTACTGCAAATCACCACTTCTATGAAGAAAAATCTGAATCCAAAAAAAGAATTTCATGGCAAATATATAAATACATAAAATATAAAATTATATTAGAAAAAGTATATTAATCAAAATTCACTGTAAGTTTCAGAATTTTGTGAATAGTATATAGTTTAAGTCATGGAAGACAAGGCCAAAGGACTCAAGGATTTATTTATCAAACCAGAACTGCTCCAGGCAGATATTTGTACAGCTGCTTTTTTGTTCTCAAAAAAGCATATCCAAAGGAAACTGTGAATTCTTAAAATTAATTTTAATCCTTAGTGATGCATACTATTGAAAGTGTTTCCTAGTCTCTTAGCTTCATGAATTCTGATCTGAGCTCTTTCTGGAAGTTCTTAGGAGCTGATGAACAGTTCACTCTCTTCCTTTTTGCTGGAATATTTTGACGGAGAAATGTGTCCCTCCCTCCTTGAGCCTCCTCTCTCTAGAGAAAACATTCCTTATAAAATGCAGTTCTAGGGAGAACTTGACAGAAACCTGTTCCTGTCTCTTAAACACTATGACAAAGATCAAGGGAGAGTTGAATAACCTTAGGAAACCACCTACACAAATTCACCTTTCTCAGCCAGATGAAACAACTTCTATTTTTTTAAAACTAAAAATAACACACCAAGACTAAATACATCTATTTGAAGATTTTGTTTCCTCTGTATTACAGAAAATAAGGAGAGACATGAACGAATAATTTAAAGCTAAGACTTGCGTGATACTACAGTCACCAAATAAAGGCAAGGAAATAATATTCTTTTTACATAATGACTGGAACAAGCACTCTTGGAGCAGCTTTTCCTACCAATTCTAATTTGAGTTATTTGCAATCCCTTTCCTCATTTTCCTCACCCTAGCACCTCTATCCAATGGCTGAAAAAGACTACTCTCAGTATATCTTTTCACATTTTTTACCTGCTTAGAGCCAAGGGCAACTCTTGTCTATATGCCTAATAACCTTTATCAGCCTCTCTATATACCTCCAAGCTTTTTCTGTACAACTGTCTCTCCAAATACCTTCATGACTGTTCTTTTATGTACAGCAAAATGTTCACAATTATGAGCTCTTAAGCACAAATTTCAACTCTATTAAGTACATTATGGACTTACAATACAGTTCCACTGGGTATCCATGCTAACAATGCTGAGACAGACTGGGAAAGGGAATGCTCTGCTTCTCCTTACACAAATTATTTCATTCACAGCTTTCTCACTGCCACTATCCTAAACCTGGAAGTCATGGCCACAGCACGAAGAACCTTTTCTAGTCATCTGCCTCCCCAAACCACCAAAACCCAAGCATTTCCAAATAACACTGCATCAAAGCAGGACTTCAATTAACCCCTACTTTAAGTATCTTAAAAAAAAAACCTCATTATTTTGTTCTTCAGGCTATTGAGAATGTCATATTCCAATCACCTACATCACTTCTACAACTCTACACCTAGTTTTAAACTGTATAGTTAAGACCGTGATGACAGCTAGAATAACTTAACAACACAGCCCCTTATTCACTCCAGAACCTTTGCATTTAGGACCCCCAGTTACCCCTTAAACTCTTGGTATGGAACATGACCCAAGTATCACATAGCTTACTTACCTTCTTTCAGAGTCAATCTTAAAAGGTCACCACTATCAATTCATGTATGGAAAGGAGGACACTGATCAAAACCAGTTATACAACAAACTAGAAATAAAGTACTCTTTTCTATATTCTACCAATACATAGGCTGGTGGAGGGAAGAAGACAAGGTGCAAGCTACACCATAAACAATGGTGTCTTCAAGTGCAAAAATTTTTTAAATCCGAGTGGAGAATTTACCTTTTCCTATACTTGTTAATCACAAGTATAAAAAGGTCATAGTATAGGGAGGTCATAATGATCCTATGTAATGACAATCAGTAACGACCAGTGTACCAACAGTTCATACTAGCAGAACAAATGACACTATTTAAAAACATTTTTGGACAAAGTGTTTCTTTACACTACTGATTAAATTTGTTTGAGCTAATATACTTGCTTAAAATGTGCCAATGAAAAAGTAACAGAATACTTTCACCTCAGAAATGCATGTTAAAAGCTAACTTCAGAAAATTAATTAAAAGTAAACTGTAGCCAGAAACTTGTCATGAAATGGTTTTATGGCAGAAGCTAAAATCAGTTTCAGAGCAGAAACACCAAAGTGTATAATAAACACAGATATAAGTTGTATCCCTCAATATAAGTTGTATCCCTCAATTTAAATATTTAATTCAGAAAGTGCTATGAAAAGCACAGCTTAGCTCATAAAGAAGTTATTTGGAGTAACAGAAATACTCTATACGTAACAGTGAGGTTCAGACTTCATATCGCTTTCAGATCTCAACAGTTTGAGCCTTAAGCTGATGCAATTTTCCAACGGGTGTCAGCCCTAGGAACTCTGCTTGTCAGAAATAATAACAGTGCTACTATTCAGATATTTGCAAAGTTGTATTTCACACATTGGAAAAACAATTCTAAAATAGTTAAGGAGACAAGAAAATAATGAAAATACAGACTCACTCATATTTAGTAACTACAAATTTGATATCCACCATTAATTGACATCTAAACTGAAAACAAGGACAGACTAATCCTGTCTTTTCACAGAATTACTAGGTTGGAAGAGACCTTCAAAATCGAGTCCAACCCATGGCCTAACACTTCAACTAAACTAAACATTGAGTGCCATATCCAGTCTTTTTCTAAACACATCCAGGGATGGTGACTCCACCACCTCCCCAGGCAGACCATTCCACAGCTTTATCACCCTTTCGGTAAAAAAACATTTTCCTAACATCCAACCTATATTTCCCTTGGTGCAGCTTCAGACTGTGTCCTCTGGTTCAGGTCAGTTGCTGCCTGGAGAAAGAGACTGACCCCCAGCTGACTTACAACCACCCTTCAGGTAGTTGTAGAGAGTGATAAGGTCACCTCTGAGTCTCCTTTTCTCCAGGCTAAACAACCCCAGCTCCCTTCAGTCATTCCTCATAGGGCTTGTGTTCCAAGCCCCTCACCAGCCTCATTGCCCTTCTCTGGACATGCTCAAGCATCTTTAACTGCAAAAGAAAATTCAAACTTCCTTATGTAAAGTAACATTAAGGAGCAACACTATGAACACTATGCATTTTTTGTCCTCTCTATATAAACATGTCAAATTGCAAGGCCTGATATTTTATTCAAGTATATACAACCTTAGCTGGAAGATGTAGTCAAAAAATTAGTTTCCAGACTAGTATTAATTTTGTCCTAGAACATGCTGAATATTTTCCAATTTCTAGTGGAGAAAAGGATCATAAAACCACAGAATTGTTCAGGTTTAAAACCTTCTCCAAGATCAGAATCAAGCCATTCCCTCAGCACTACCAAATCTACCACTAGCCCACATCACCACAGCTTTTAAATCCCGGTAGGGATGGGGACTCCACCACTATCCTGGGCAGCTGTGACAGGGCTGAACAGCCCTTTCAGTGAAGAAATTCCCAATATCCAACCTTAAACACCCCAGCACAACTCAAGGTCATTTCCTCTCATCCTATCGCTTGTTCCCTGCTAGAGCCTGACCTCCACCTGGCTCCACCCTCCTGTCAGGGAGTTGTAGAGAGTGAAACAATCTCCTGTGAGCCTCCTTTTCTCCAGGCTGAGCCCCTGCCCACTCCCTCAGCTGCTCCTTATCAGCTCCAGACCCTTTCCCAGCTCTGTTCCCTTCTCTGGACATGCTCCAGCCCTTCACTGACTTTCTTGTCAGGAAGGGCCTAAAACTGAGCCCAGGGTTTGAAATGCCTCAGCAGTGCCCAGCACAGGGGACAGTCACTGAGTTGGTCCTGCTGGCCACATTGTAGCTGGTACAGCCAGGTGCCATTGGCCTTCTTGGCCACCTGGGCACACCTGGGCTCATGTTCAGCTGCTGTTGACCAGGACCACCAGGTCCTACTCCACCAGGCAGCTTTCCAGCCACTCTGATCCAAGTCTCAAATGTTCCGTGGTGTTGGTATGACCCAAATGTCAGACACCTTCCTAGCACAAACTTAAGTCAGGGTATCTAGAAAAAGAACATTGTTTAACTTAATAGTAGACACTACTGTTAGTTCCAGGAAAGTCAGTAAGACCACTGAATTATATCAACACAGCTGTAATACTGAGAGGATCTGCAGACACTGAAATGAAGTAATTCTGCTCAGGAAGTACAGGTTCATGTGGAAAAATACTAGACAAACATATGAACAACCATCACAGACAGTTACCTGAATACACAATGCAATGCTTTTTCTTCCCCTCAGCTTATCGTCAGACTGCTGTGTCAGCACTAAAAAGCCTCCACTAACACTTTTGCTTACAGAAAAGTGACTTGACTAGACAGACATTTTGCTAAATTAAAATTGTAATTTACATTGAGAAATTACATATTCAAGTAGTGTGTTCTTTAACAACTATTTTGAAGTTACTTTTGCATTTTCTTCAAAACACTGCTCAAGGAAAAACTCCTCTGTTTGTAGGATTTCCCTGTTAACTTTAGAGGCTAGTCTTTTGTGGTAGGCAATGCACTTAACCAAGCACCTTTTACAGAAACAGTAACAGTTACCCTTCTTGGGAAATCTTAGCTATTAAGCCATTCTGAAAATACAGTGAAAGATCTCAACCAGTATGTAACATGATGCACTTTTCCTTAATTAAATTGATTAAAGCTGGCCTGAATGCCAGGTTCTGATATATACAGCATAAGACATCGGCTGTTACTTGAGCTCACAGCATCATATTCTGACTATACTACTACTGTATCTATACTACAAAAAACAACTACTGGCACAAGCAAGAAGCTTTTAATTCAATCAAACTGCAAGAAGCACAGCATAGATGCTTCTACAAGTCCTTCTCTGCAGTGTCAAATACATAACAATAAAAGCCACTAAAATTATTAACCACTCCCCCTTCTCCTTTAAAAATCCTCTATCTCGACACAACACTCTAGCATAAGCATTTATGTCTGTCACTACTTTGAAAATTGGCAACTAACTGACAGATGCTACCACTAGACTCTCTGATCTGTTTCAAGGAACAGGCCCTACTCCCCACCCAAGCCAGACTTATTCCATGCACAAAGCAACAGTGGCCAGCATCCATGACAGCACCACCACCGCCTGGCATTTAAATAAATGCATAACTTATCTCTACCTCCTGTGCCTTCAAGATGCTTAGGAGCCCACAGACTCTCTACCCATCAAAGCCAGACTTTCTGTCTATGTCGAGGCAGTCCTGAATACAGTTATCTGCTCAGCACCACCTCTGCATCCTCAGAGGCAGCTGGGCAGATTAAATCACAGATGTCCCTCCTTAGATCACCTCTGCCAGCACCAAAATACATTATCCCTTTTATTAATATATTTTTATGAATATTTTATTGCAATCTATCAGAGTGCAACAGATCTGTCTCACAGCCCAATGGAGGAGTTTGCACAGCTTAATGCTGAAGGCATGAAGTATGCAGGCCGCTAGAGGGGTGCAGAAGCAAAGGTGCATCATGAAGGAACTTGAGAGTACAAGAACTGCTATCTTGGCATGTAAGGACCAGGCCAGCCCAAAAGGACACAGGACCACGTCACTCTGCCTGGATTGCACACTGCTACAATCACCACCAGGGTAAAAGACATCTGCAGAGAACACGCACCATGACACAACTCAGAAGGGACTTCAGAATAGTCTAAGCAACAGTGGGTGATTGGGAGCTGTTTCCTAAGAGGAAACATGATCAAAATTGGCAGTACAAACACTACCACTCCCTTCATTCCACAGTATATGTAAACAGTTATTGTAAAAAATGTAATTAAAAGGATGTCTTGAAAGCACTTACTCTCTAGCAGATTTAATTTGATTAGCTAATATTTGGAGGACAACAGACTTAAATCCTTTCCAAGCTGAAAAACAATTTCAAGCTCCTGCTGAGGAATATGAACCTGTGAGAAAGCTTGAGTCTGGTACTTGTTCTAAACTAAAGAAAAGCTATCAACTGAAAAATTACTCAGTATTTCAATTCAAACATTTCTGACTCCACAGATAACAAAATAATCCAGTGATCCAACAGAAAGTGTATCATACACTTCTGTTGGTTCCCAGCATCTTCAACAGAAACAAGAGTAACCTTGATTTTTTTCCCCACATAAATCGTACTAGCTTTTACTATTAACCAGACAGAATTAAATCCCATATTGAGATCAGCGAACATAATTACCATTTCCCAAGATAACTAGACACTTCACAGTATACAAACCAAAGATACGAGAGACATTTAAGTACACTGAGGTGAAAAGCAATAGTCTGGACCAGTTTTCTTTGCTTTGTAGCTTTGTCATGCTGAGCGTGTCAGCACCCCTCTGCCACATGTTCAAGATACACCTTCACCGTACTTTTTCTTCCACATTGATCCATATTCTGTCTGAAGAGCTACCTGTATTGTGAAACCACCATACATCTTCCCACTTTTAGCCCTTCAGTATCTGCTTGCACTATGCCCATTGATGATGGTAATGTTCTATTAGCCACCTTCAGCCTCACAACAATACAAAGGGCTGATCACCATGGAAGAAAGGAGTCAGGGCTAAGAACAAAAAAAGAAAGTATCAATAACTCCTTACCTTCTGTGCTTTATCCTTCTGAAATACAAAGACAGGTGGGGCAATGGCAGGTTTTTCTGTAAAAAGAGAAATCATTGGAGTTTTTTCCAACCACATTCATCTTGACTATTATGAAAATGTTCTGTTCTGTGATGCTTTTAGCAACAATGAATCCCTAAGCCAGTTAAATCTCAGTTACACATATTGTTTCTACCAGTTCCTGGTAATTGATGTTTATAAGGACTTAACCTTCAAAAGTTAAAAAAGAGTGTTTTAAGACAAACAACACAACTAATGTCTAAAAGCTATTTGTGTTTCTCCTCCAGATCACTTACAAGCTAGTACTTGTACCACACTTTAGTACATCAGAAGGAAAAGTCCCTTTGATGCAGCAGTTCACTAGCTGAACACATGCTTTTCCTTCCCCACTGACACGCATTAATGAAAGGGGAGTTTGTTTTACGCCCCCACATACTCCTTTCTTAAAGGTCCCCTAACACTGACATTTGATTACGCTTGTATTTCATTATCACTGAAAACTGTAGAAAGGTCCTATATTAATATTTGCAGGTCTACAATTCAAACCTACTATATTACACATTACAGAGGAACCAGCCTTTTCTGCACAATTTAAGAGCACATATGCTTTCATCTTAAAGCTCTGAATCAAATATTAGCAGAATGCTATTTTCTAAATAAGCACATCAGCATCAAGTCCACAAGAGTAGAATTAATGTATAGAATGAGTGTATATTTCCATTGTCCTTTGAGATTTCACAACTACTTCAGAATCCTGAATAATAAAAATATACATACTCAGGGGGAGTGTGCATGGTAAAGCAGAGGTGAGAATTCCTGAGAGTTCAACAAACTGACACATCTTGTCTGTGAGTTATATTTGAAGAGAAGCTGCACACACACTATGCAGTCAGCAGCCCTCCTGTATGTTTGCAGGGCTAAAGATGAGCACAATATTTCAGTCTTTCAGTCTGGAAAACGGGATTTACAGAGAGCTTGATTTACAAAGAAATTAGCAAAAAAAGTTCCACCTTTGCAATTATCCAGTCTTATAAACAAATCTAGACATTTAAGAAAATTAAAAATTTTAAAAGTTTCAGAGATTGAAAGGCTAACATAAAAGAAAAAGAAATACAAAGCTATCAAGAAGAACTACCTTGCACCACAAAAAAGAACAGTATCACAAAATCTTGCAGGATCAGTAAAGTACTTGGAGCACCATATAAGGAAAAAGGAATGAAACTGACCATTTGGGAACTGTTATATTAGATCAGTTTAACTGAAAAAGTGAAACTTTAGTTTCACGTATGCAAAATTATGAAAATTATTGCCAGAACTGTGCATTTAATTGTGAGGGTAGAAGAGCGTCTATTTTTCTATGGATCTAACTTAAAGGGATTACCCAGCAAAACCAAAAAACACTGCAAGAGTGATCTAACAAGACTGGCATAACATGTTCTGCAAAAGGCAAAATTAATCAAGAAATTAAGCTACTTATGACATAATTTTGCTTGCTCTTTTTTTTCCTTTTTAAGTTCATCTATCCATCAAATACTGCTGAATCTTAAAAACGCTTATTAATAATAGCAATGCAGACAATGCAGACAATCCATTTCAGAAGTGAAAACAATACAGACCCTTAAATGTAATAATACCTGTCCCAAAACCCAGAGTGTGGTAATACAAGCCAAGGATCCATTTTTATTCCCTGGGCTTCAGTATAACCTACCTGTGGGAGGCTCCACTAGGCAATGACTAAGCTTTTAAATCTTGACTTCAAAGTGACAGTTATGGTGGTATACTTAGGTTGGAAATGGGAGGGTGTAATCTATTCCCATCTGTTGGAAGTAGGGTAGTTTATCTTCTGTTAATTGGGCCATTTTCTTTATCTTTTCCACAATTAATCCTCCCTCTGGGGAGACATCTGCTGTTAATAGGCCATCAAAGTGTCACTGCATGACTGATAAAAATTATATCATCCCATTGGGAGATGCTCCACCCAGTGAGAGGAGCCAAGGATTCCTACTTGTATATAATCTGAGATTTGGAAGACCACAATCAGCCTTTCCCACTGGATTCTCAGAGAAAGGCCAAGCCCATCTACACCACCACTGTATCTTCAGAGGAAGACTACAGCCTTCTACAGGATCACTGCTTCAACAGAACCACATCTGTCACTCCAGGAGGACTGCAGCCACCATTTCAACTGAACTGCTACCAACACCCTGACCCACAAAGTGTCTGGTTGTATTTTCACTCTGTCAGTGTTGTTTTGTATTGCTGCACTGTTTATTTTATTTTTAAAAATTTTCTTTCCCTAATAAAGAACTGTTATTCCTGCTCCCATATCTTTGCCTGAGGGCCCCTTAATTTCAAAATTATAACAATTTGGAGGGAGGGAGCTTACATTTTCCATTTCAGGGGAGGCTCCTGCCTTCCTTAGCAGACACCAAGACAATACTTCAGTGGTCATTAGTACTACTGCTACAGCAGCATGCCCTCTGCCAAAGCAATCAATAGGGAGATTTCCCAGAATGTGGGACTTGATTATCATGCACATCTTACAAGAGATTCCTGCACCAAATTCCACAAATACCAAGGAGAACTGAACAAAATCTACTTGTCTCTCTAGTGCATAACAAAGGATTGAAGTAATGAGAGAGAAGAAAGCAAAGAAAAACAGATTCAACAACAATGCAGAGTGCAGAGAAAAGCATGGGACAGCTGGCTAAAGGTGGAATGAGCAGCCAGAGAAACTGATGCAAAGTAATACAAAATACGAAATGGAGTAATTGAAAACTAAGCACTCAAGAAAAAAGACAGATGTCAGAAACAGCAGAAAGCTTACAGTAAAAAAGAAATAGATGAAAGAACAAAGAAAAAAAGAGAGTGAAAAACCTCCAACTATTTGAGGTTGTGAGCAGCTACGACAAATGCGAATGGCAAAAGGACCTAATAAAGCAAACTATGCCCAGGGCTATCAGTCAACCCGAAAAAGGGAACACTGGTGCAACATCTCATAGTCTTTGTCCACTAAAGGAACTCAGTAATCCAGTATTCAAGGTCCAAGAATCTCACTACTGCTCTTGCTGACTGTGAGACCAACTGACAGGGTCAGGAACAATGATAAGAGGCACTCACAGCTAACAACTGTACCAGTGCTTACTCAAATACAGACACACGGAGCACTTGTTCATTTCTGTCCTTTCTGAAGTCTGCAACAATATCACAGTGCTGAAAACATCTTCCTAATTCTAGCCCAAGGCAGGAAGAGATTACTAGATTGCCTAATCTGACCACCTTCACTAAATACTGCCTATTTTTCTAAGCTTTATTTAAATTTTGGTAAACATTTTCATTGAAGGCATCAAAAGCAAAGTAATACTGCCCTCAATCATCTATTTCTGCATTTGGTAAAAAATTCTAGTGTCCAATTTCCCATTCAAATGTCCAGCTCCAGATTCTGGTTCCTATTTCTAGTTACATTTTCAAATGCATTTATGCAGAGCTCTCTACCATTTATTGTTTTTCATACAAAAGCACTTACACATACCATGTTTCCATCAACTGAAGAACCCCCATACCAGATTTTATTTTTGCGGATCAGAAATGCAGATGTTAGGTAGTTCTTTGGTTTTCCCAGTCAAGTGCTGGCTCAAAACAAGATTTCCACTGTTATTTGTATTAGCCAACATCTGAGCCAGACGGCCAGGTTCTCAAGCTTTTGTTACACCAGGACGTCTGAAGGATGACCTACTATAAAATGGATTTAGGTCCACTAAACTCTCAGCAACTTGAAAATAAAGCAAATTTCAGGTAGAATGCATGTAAGAGAACATGAGACCTCCTTCACCAAGAGACGAGCAGTCAGAGCACAGAGTTCTTAAAAACTGAGGATTAGATTTGGTTTTTTTCTTCAGAGAAGCAGACAGAAACATGGCAAAACAAAAGAGAAATGTCAATTTTTTCTAACCATGTCAGTCTTGATAAAGGCATTCAGATGAAGTCCAAGCATGTAAGAAGGAAAGCAAAACTTCAGTAATTAGCATCAGAGATAGTACCTCTCCAATCTCAAGACCTGGCACCATACAAACCTGAATGGTTTTAGACTGTCAAATCAAATTAAATCCACAACTGAAAACCAACTGAATCCACAGAACTCCTTCCTGCAGTTTATTCACTTTGCAGATATTTCAACCTGCATGAATAACTACAAAAAACCTCAAGAGTTGGATTTCACAGGCTAAATTTCTTTAACATATTTTACCATCAAGTGATTAACTAGAAAAAAATGCCCTATGTACTGTGAGAAAAACATGTACTATTAAACCTGCTGAGCTTCCTTCACAAGCTGTGGAAATCAAAATGCAGAAACAGAAAATACTACCTCCATAGCTCATGCAGAGATACCATCTTCAAGTCATACATACTATTTACTATGAGATTTTTAACCTAGATGTGTGACCACTAGTAGCTATAGCAAACTCTCCCATGTCAATCATATTTACCACAACTAGACATAACATTCACTCACATGATGCACCTCTAGCAGCCACAAGGTGTCAGACCTTTATTGCAGCATGAAGTGACTCATTGAAAAAAATCCAAGGGACCAAGGGCAGCAAGAAAAGCTTCTGTAGTTACATTGGAGATAAGAGAAAGGCTGGGGAAAACACTGGCCCTCTCCATCAGGCAACAGATGTGGTTTCCATGGATATGGAGAGCTGAGGTACTCAATGTTTTTGATTCCATCTTCACCAAGAAGTGCTCCAAACCAAGTAATAAATGGGGAAAGCAGCAGGGACTGGCAGAATGAAGGCCCACGTGCTAAAGGAAAACAGGCTTGAGATTATCTAAGGAAGGTTAAGGTGCACAAGTCCATGGGAACTGATGAAATGCATGCATGAGTCCTAAGGGAACTGTCAGAGGAAGTATCTAAGCCACTCTCCATTCATTGAGAAGTTGTAGCCCTCTGAGGAAGTTCCCAGTGACTAGAAAAGGGGAAACTAACACCCATTTACAAAAAGGGAGAAAAGGCAGACTTGGGACACTACAGGCT